TTGCCTTCACCTGTGCTCCTAGGGCTGACTCAGTCCTTTCATCAGGTGATCAATCAGTGGTTAAGGCCATGACTCAACAGTTCCCATACAGCATACTATGCAAATACAGTATATTTCCTACATACGTTGTATACTGCAAGTAGACTGCAAGCACAAAAGTTTGCTTGCTTGCAGTTTTATCTGCAGACGACTTTTATATGTTAAGTATTTTTGTTGTCAGTAATAGGACTTCTTTTTTCTTCTCTTGATGGCATCAAATAGATGGACAAAGTACTCTAGTGAGGAGATCTAGAGATGATTACTTCATTTCTAGTGCTTTACCAATTTGGTTTTTACATAGCAGACCTAGGCAGGAACACACTGTAAAGCAGTGTAGCTCTATTTCTGAGTAGTATGTATTAAACAAGGGGAACACAACTGGGAAATCATTTCATATCTCAAAGCATGAGTACATTTCATCCTAACCTTTGCCTTATCAATTCTCATTGAATTAGAGAAGCGAGAGAAAGTCCTAGTTTCTAAAATGCCTTCAATAAACTGTCTGAATCCAACTCCCCAGCACCCACTTTGCAGACACACGCCTGCTCTTTGCACCTAGAGGCCTCACCTTAGCAGATACCACAGAAGGAGTTTTTAGTCTCTAAAACAACAGATAACAGTAACAGGTTCCCTTTACTTGGTTGGCATCAACCAAGTAGGTGAAGAACAATGATGTTCCCAGTAGAAATATTATAGCCATTTGATACGTTTTGGGAAATAACAGATGTTCTCATTGCCACACAGCAATTACGTGATGGATGCTGCTGTGAAGTGAGATATAATTATGCTATTGAATATTGCTTTCAGGACGAGAAAACGGATTACAACATGTAAGCCAGTGTGAGCAGCAGCTAAACGACATTCTGAAGTACTACTTGGAGGAAAAGAAGGAAGAGGAACAGAGTAAGAAAAAGGAAAAATAAAATGTGTGCATTTTATTTTGACAATATATGAATGGTGTGTCTATAAAAATGACCAGTACTGCTGTGAATGTATATTTAATGTTTAACGTGGGGAGATCTTACTTGCATCTGTTCTGATTCTTCTGTTTTGGCAGCCCCTTGTTTGAATGACTAAAACTAAAGAATGTAGGAACTGCAGGGTATCTGAAATCCCTTGAATTCTATCGTTAATATTAGTATGAATTATTTAATAACTAAGCCTATGAAGTACCTAATTGTATTATTAGTGTTTTGTCATTCTTCAGATTTGATACGCACGCAGCAGCCTATTGTAAAAACAAGTGTCACTTTGCGTATTTACAAATCATTCAAAGCCAAGAGCATGGCTCTACCAGTAAAAAGGCCTAACGCAACGTCGTTTTTTCAAAGAAAATGGCATGCCCTCAGTTTATTCAATCCTCGCAAGTCAACAGCCCCACCCGGCTCGGCGCAGCCCCGCCACGCCGCCAGGTGGCGCCGCCCGCCGCCGGGAACGGCCCGCTTTGCACCGTGCAGCGCTGCTGACACCTCGGCTCTCGCTCCCTAAAATCTCAATCAACAATCCATTAGGACGCAACGGGAGTAAAACTAAATCCTCGTTTAAGTGTATTTATCCGATCTCTTTTCTCTCTTTCAAATGCTAAATCCATTTCAGCATATGCCCCCTCTTTCTATCGCCTTTCTCTAAAGCCCGGCAGCCCACACTGCTCTTGTAAATATGAAAGATGCTAATCATATGACATATCACGTCTCAGTCGGGGCCTGGAATAAAGCCTTGAGATTTGGGATCATTGCCTCCAGACAACAGCTTCATCAGCCGGAAAGTTGGTTTTTTTCTCCTTTCCTTCAACTCTCAATCCCTTCTTTGTCTGGGGGAAAATGCAGCCAACTCGAGCCACCCCGGCCATATGGTTCACTCTGTGTTTTCTTAGTGAATTCTGAATTGTTTGTGACTTGCGGAGGGGTTTTTTTGGGAGCATGTATAAAGACATAGAAGGGGCTGCCCGCGCTGGGCAGGGCCGGGCCATGTCCTTCACGTGCCCATTTCACATACTCCTGTGTCCGCCCCACGGCCACGCGCTGCCCGGACACAGCCCTGGGCTCAGCAGCACCACGATGCCTTCTGGGGCTCTCACAGTTTTTCCTTTTTGAGGATGGAAGTGCCTTCCTTCCTGAAGGTGAGGCATTTTTGGGGCTGAGGGTGCAGGCTGCTCACTCGTGACAAACCTGCACGCATGCCAGGGCTGAGAGGTACGGTAGTGCCGTGCGTAGGGAAGCACGGCTCCTCTGCCCCGTGTGCTCCGGGAGCTGAATGGCTGCGGTGCGCTGCGGGTTGGGCAGCCCCATTTGATAGCAGCCTGCCAAATTTTCTTTCTCTCTTTCCTCACACAAACCCCCAAAAAGGCCCTTTCACCAAATCATTAAATTCTACAGAGGTGGTCAAGCTAGTCCTGCTTTTCATGCGTTGGAGAAAGAAAAGGGTCCTTGAAGTTTAGAAGATGCCCAAGGAAAACTCATTGAATGACATCAAAAGAATGAGTTTCCATAGCTGTTGAAGCACGAGAGCTGTGTAGCTGCACAAAGGCGGGTTGGGGCAGTGGGACTGTCCCACTGCTCTATCCCAGCACAATTGGGTCACTGAAATAGGGAATTAATTACCATTGGAGAGTGGGCAGCCCATTCACCGCTGGCTGAGTTTTATTAAACGCCAATATAAATAACAAAACAACTCTTGTGGCTGCACTATTCCTACACGCCAAAGGAAGGATTATGTCGGGGATTAACATCTTAAAGTCTATGAGACTTTCTGACTCAAGGCTCGGAGCTGGTAATCGTATTTGTCTCCTGGTTCAGCGATTAGTGCTCTCCCTCGCGCACCTTCGCCTGGATGGCCAATGTCCCTTTTTGCAGGCACCGGGTTTTTCACACAATCGGCTGTTCTTTTCCCCACAACTATAGAAAAGAATAAGAAAACTGAAGCGTGTTCACGCGATCCTCAAGCTTCTTCTTCTTCATGGGAAAGGAAGGCACCGGCGGCCTTTTTCACAGGGGGGAGGTGGGGGAGGCAAATCCTCGGGGGGGGGGGCAGCGGGGCTCCGCATCGCAAAATCACTCTGCAGCCTGCACCTGCCATGCAAATCCACCGGGAACAATCAGCCCGAACGGGGGCTCGTCCGCAAGGGGGGCTGGGCCTGGATGCCGGAGCAGCATTGCCCAGGGAGGCTGATCCCAAAGGAACCCCAAATATGGGGGCCTGCCCTTCCCTCCCAGCAGTGCTTCTGGCTGCGGCATGCCAGGGGCTGCCCCCTGCCGAGCACCCCTCATTCACCCTCTGGGAAGGGGCTGTGTTTTGACCCCCAGGTTAAGGGCTGGGCACCCCACCATTAGCTGCTTGGGGGCTCCGTCCCACCGATCCTCTGGAGCCTTGGGAGCCCAGAGCCTGCTGCCCCCACCCTGCTGGGCCATGGGGCCGGCACAGGCACTCACAACTTGTGAGGTCGGAGCGTGGATGGGCCGCGTCCAAAGGTCTCTCAGCAACACAGAACCTAAACTTTTAGGGCTCTCGGGTCGCCTCCGAGTTCAATCTTCTTACTGCAAACAAAGCCCTTCTGAAGGTCTCCCCCTCTCCCGCACACCAGCTCAGCATCCTTTATTTCTGGGCCGTGTGATAAGCTTAAATCATTGTGCTCCCATTTCTTGATCGTCGCCTACTTCACCCCTTTGTTCCCGTAAAGTAGGATCGAGTCTGGCAAAGGGGCTGAAGTTGAACAGTTTGACCCCGGGGGACAGTTCAGGCCCTCACCCCGGCCCTGCCCGGCCCTCGCCTCACACAGCGCTGAGCCTCCGTCCTGCTGCTGCTGCCCTCCTCACACATAGGGATCTCCCGTTTCTCAGAACGGGGAAATGCGTCCAAGTCACTTGGCGGAGTCACAGACATTTTGTAATAGATTGGCTAAATGTGGCATGGGGTAGCAGGGCGCACAACTGTGCAGCAGCAAAGAAGCAAAAACGAGGCTGGGGACGGGCAAGTGCAATAGGAGGGAATGGCTTTAAACTAAAGGAGGGGAGATTTAGGTCAGCTGTTAGGAGGAAACTCTTTACTCCGAGGGTGGTGAGGCCCTAACACAGGCTGACCAGAGAAGGTCGTGGATGCCCCATCCCTGGAAAGCCAGGCTGGATGGGGCCTGGGCAGCCCAAGCTGGTGGGGGCAACCTGCCCATGGCAGGGAGTTGAGGCTGGGCTGGCTGGTTGGAAGGTAGGTCCCTTCCAACCCACGCCAATGATCCTGTGATTCTATCACTTCTCCGTGCGTGTATTGTGCACCATGGGATACCCACGTACATCTCAACTCTGTCATGCTGATCCAAGCCTCCACTTCGGGGCTCTTCCCACCAGTTGCAAGGCAAGCTCTATTTTACAGCCTCCTATTTTTACCCCAAGCCACTGCATCCCACCGGCCCCGATCAGCGAGCCGGGCACGGGGCTGCTTGATGTTCGCTGCCGCACTGACAAGTCGAGCCGGTGGGAGCGGGCCGCCGAGGGTCCAAACGCCGGAGCCGCCTCGCGGCTTTAGGGGCACGGCGTCCCCCGAGCGCCGTCCGCCCCGCCCCGGCCCCGCTGCCCCCGTGGGGACGCGCGGGGCCCCCCCAGCGGGGCAGCCCCCCGCCCGCGGCCGCTGAATGCAGCGCTGAAAGGGAGCCGGCTCCGGCGCGCGTGGCTCGCGGGGCGCCCCGATTGGCCGCCGGCGCCTCGCGGCTCCCCCCCGCCCCCCCCCCGCCATTCATTAATAAATTAGCGGCACGCTCCAGCCGAGCGCGAGGCACCAATGGCGCGGCGGCGGGGCCGGGGAGCGGGGGGGCCGCCGGCGGGGCAGGTTTGATTGTTCCCCGCGGGGTATATAAGGGGCGTTAGCGGGGTCGTGTGCCAGACACGCAGCCGCCGGGCCCCGGGCCGCTCCGACGCCGCCGGGGCGCGTGCCAGCGCCCCCCGACCGCCCGACGGCCGTCGACCCGCGGCCGCGCCCCCCTCTCCCCGCCCCCGCAGGATGCCGGTGAAGGCGGAGAGCCCGGCGCCCGCGGCGGAGGACGAGCTGCTGCTGCTGCGCCTCGCCTCGCCCGCTCCCTCGGCCTCGCTGCCGTCCAGCGCCGGCGAGGAGGAGGAGGACGAGGAGGACGGGCGGCCGCGGCGGCTGCAGGAGGGCTCGCGGCGGGCGGGGCGGCAGCGAGGGACCCCGCGGGCGGCGCGCACGGCGGAGACGGCGCAGCGCATCAAGCGGAGCCGGCGGCTGAAAGCCAACAACCGCGAGCGCAACCGCATGCACAACTTGAACGCGGCGCTGGACGCGCTGCGCGACGTGCTGCCCACCTTCCCCGAGGACGCCAAGCTCACCAAGATCGAGACGCTGCGCTTCGCCCACAACTACATCTGGGCGCTCACCGAGACGCTGCGCCTGGCCGGGGCCGCCCGCCTGGGGGGAGCCGCCGAGACCGCGCCCGGAGCGGCCGCCGAGGGCAGCCCCTCGCCCGCCTCGTCGTGGAGCGGCGGCGCCAGCCCCGCGCCCTCCGCCTCGCCCTACGCCTGCACTTTATCGCCCGGCAGCCCCGCCGGCTCCGCCTCGGACGCCGAGCACTGGCCGCCCCCGCGGGGCCGCTTCGCCCCTCCGCCGCCGCCCCACCGCTGCCTCTAATGCAGCCCGGGCGGCCCTCGCTCCTCCGACGTGCACTTTGCCCGGCTCTGCCCCTCGCCGCTCCGCAGCTGTCTCCGTGATTTACGAGGGGGGAGCGGAGAAAAAAAAAAAAAGTTAAAAAAAAAAAAAAAAAGTTGTGTTGTTAGGGGTCCAGGTTAGAAGTCATTGTATAATTTGTAGGCTTTGTCAGGGCTGAATGCAAGCGTGGAAATTTAGGCTGAACTCTCTATCAAAAGGAAAAACTGTAGAGGGAAGGGAAGGGGTGGGTGGGAGGGAGGAGCGCCTCATGCATTATTTATTTCGACCTTTAGGGGACGAGGAACTCCCCCCTTCTTTCAGGAGATTAAAAATAAATCAACGGACTGAAAACCCAAACAGACACGGGACATTACAGCGATCTGCCACACACGTGTTCACATTTATTTATTATAAAGAAAGATTTCATGGAAAAGATGTATTTTTTTGTATAATTTACAGAGTCTATTCTAGTATGTATTTACGGCTGAAGAGCAAAGGGATTGTTCTCCTCATAAAATATAAATAAAATATCTAATTTTCATAATTTTCATCACTTGGGTTGCTCTTTTTCATGGCTTATGCACCATCTGTTGGGGTGACAAACATCCTCAGCCCCACTGCAGCTTGGCCTGGGGGCTATGGTAGGGGTGGCAGGCGATGCGGTGTGGGTGGCTCGGTTGTGCTCATGTGGTGCTTGGAGACACTGGAGCTGGAGTGTCTTCCAGGAAGCTGATGTGCCTTTCCGTTGCTGAAATGTTGTTTTGCTTCTTTAGAATTAAAGCAGAAAGATGAACTGTGTAGCCCCAGGGGGATGAGGTGGTTGCTCTTTGGGTGAGCAGATTCTGGGGGAGATGGGTGTGGGACGTACTGCCTCCTCACCTTGCGCAGGGACCCTGCTGGAGCTGGCTGCAGGGGGAATGTGGTGTCCCATGTAAGGCATTTCAGAGTCATTAAGGTTGGAAATGACTTCTCGGATCATCTCCATCATTCCATTCCCACTGTGCCCACTAACCTGTGCCCCTCAGTGCCACATCCACATGGTTCTTGAGCACCTACCGGCACGGTGACTCCACCACCTCCCTGGGCAGCCCATTCCAGCACCTCAGAGAAGAAATTTTTTCCTAACGTCTAACCTGAATTTTGGGTAATTGCATAACACCTTGGCACCCTACCAAGACTGCTGCACAGAGCCCATCTCCCTGCCTCCTTTCTCCCGTCCCTACCCACTCCATCACCTCCTCTCAGTGCTGGGCACCCTCCCCCCTCCACATTGATTCCTGGATGCCAGATGAGGCCTGGGTACGTCTGGTGTGTTCATGGGCCTTTCAGCACCATCGTAGGCACCCAGCAGTGGCCGGGTGACTTCTGGGCACAAACACCTGGAAATCATTAGGAACCAGTGGAGGCTCCCAAACGTGTTAATTCAATAACATGGGTCCTGGGAGCGTGAAACCCAGCCTTGAGAGCAACATCCCCGAAGGGGGAAAAAGGGAAAAAAAAAAAAAAAGCCCAACGTGTGAAAAGAGAATTAGTGAAATTAGGTTAGCCCAATAAAACGCACCCCCTGCCCCGCGGCCTCGGGCGAGCGCAGCTATCAGCCTCTGCTATTGTTTCCCCCCCTGGCAGGGGAGTTATTGTGTGATAAATAATTCCTGGAGGAAAAAAAAAAAGGAAAAAAAGAAAAGTGGGCACATTTGCATAATCAGCGCTTTGATGTGGCCAGGGCACGGAGCTGTGTCCCCAGACCTGCTGTGGGCCAGAAGGGATGGGGCAGGAGGCCGCCTTCCAGCGGGGCGGCCCGGGGGTGCTGAAAAGGACCCCCTGTAATGGTTTGTCCCCATCGACGTGGGCTGGGAGCGGGGGCCCAGCTTATCCTGCTGCCAGGGGGCTGCTCTCTGTCCACGGTACCAACCCCACGGCTGGGAGTCTCTCCAGAAGGTGTGTGGAGGTCTGTCCCCTGCCCAGGCCCGTGCCATGGTTCTGTTGTCACCTTACAAAGACACACAGCACACCACCTGTACTCTGCAGCCTGGCCTTGTGGCCCTTCTCCTCCCTCCCACATGTGTGGGATGCACACCCAGGCCGTACGTTTCCTTTTATCAGGGCTGATCTTGTGAGGATTTCATTGCCACAGAGATACTTTGGTTTTCTGATGGCAGAGAAGCAGTGTTGTTGGGCTGTGGAGCGGCACGTGAGGGTTCATCTACTAAGGGGCATCCCATAGTATGCTCTGATGGCTTTGTTAACTAAATTTATAGTACACTGAGTAGTTAAGGAGTAGTTAAGCGTACACTGGCTGGTTTTTAGCACTGGATACGTTAGCTCTTGTGTAAGGATTTTCAATTGGAGGAGGACCGCAAAGATGATCGGAGGACTGGAGCACCTCTCCTGTGAAGAAAGGCTGAGGGAGTTGGGCTTCTTCAGCTTGGAGATGAGAAGGCTTTCCAGTACTTAAAGGGTTTCCAGCACTTGAAGGGAGCTAACAAATAGAAGAAGGGCTGACCTTCACATGATAGTGATACAAGAAGAGGGAATGACTTTAAACTAAAAGAGGGGAGATTTAGGCTAAATATTAGGAAGAAATTCTGTACTCAGAAGGTGGTGAGATGCTGGCACAGCTGCCCAAAGAAGGTGTGGGTGCCCCATCCCTGAAGGCACTCAGGACAAGGTTGGATGGGGCCCTGGACAGCCTCAGCTGGTGGTGGGCAACCAGCCCGTGGCAGGGGGTTGGAACTTAATGGGATCTGAGGTCCCCTCCGACCCATGCCATTCTATGATCCTATGATTCTATGTCAAACTGAAAGGGACAATTACTGGGGCTGTTAAATTGGTGCATCTTTTATTTCCATATGAAGGTACGTATGTAACTTAGAGAAATGAAATGACACTTTAATGAAACGACACTGCAAAATATGTCGGACAGGTTTATCTGTGAAAGGGTGTTTGTATGTGTGCATGGGGAAAGCCGTGCTGGGCCCAGGCTGCTCTGGCAGCCAGCAGCAGCTCCTGGCAGTGCTTTCGCTCACCACTTGTGCCGAGCTCAGCACGCTGCTGGGGTGCCTGAAAAGCTGCTCTGAGGAAAACGGGCTCTCAGTTCTGAGCAGCAGGACCGGCAGCAGGACGGTGTCGGTGGCCTCCCCAGCATCCACCCTCCCCCTGCTTTTATTGAAAGGGAGAGCGACCGGACCAAAGCCGATGGCATATTTACCTTTGCGAGTTTTAAAAAAGTTAATTACTGCTCGGAGCAAGTTGGTACGGCTGTCCTGAGCTGCCTTTTATTAGTAGTCGCCTTCATTAATTTCCCTCGCTGGATTTGCTGCTAATAGCCGCTTGGTCCTGGGCAGCACAAAGCAGCATCTGTGCCATTGAGCGGAGAAGCGGGAGTCGGGCAGAGGGGGGCCAGGGGGAGTGACGCCGTTTGCAAATCAACCCCTATTAATGTGATGGCCTGAGCTGCGCTGACGGCAGCTCATGCTTCCCCTGCCCGGCACAGCAGCTCAGGCCTCGAAAGGCCCCCATGCACCTGTGGGTGCTGGTGGTGGCATTCCGGGAAGCAAAATGGGAAGCGGGGTGCTGGGTGCACAGCCCCAGGTGCCCCATCTGCTAGGAGGGGGGATGCTCAGCAGCATCCCGCAGCAGCTGGGTTGTTAGCAACTTGCTGTCTTGGAAGTTTGATTTCGTTGTTGTTGTTAAATAATGGGACGAAATTCTAGTTGGAAAGAAGAAAAAGCGAGAATAGGGCAGGGAGAAGTCACTGTTCCCAGAGGTGTGGTGGAGGCGACGGCAGCAGCACGGGGACCTGCAGAGGTGCAGGTGGAAGAAGTTCCTGAAGCACTGGGGAGGAGTGCATTAGCACATGGCCATTGCGCTATCAGCGGTGGGATATTCAGGCTTGGTTTGCTGCTTTCACTGGGGGCATGGACGGCCCTTCAGGCCTCACATCCTGCTGCTGGCAAGGATGTTTCACTGCTCCTCTACAATGAGCTTCTCTCATTCTGCAGAGACCACAGAACTGGTCCTTAGTGATCCTTAGTGATAACGAATCTACCCTATAAAGCAACTTACTTAATACAAAAGTCTGAATGTCTCAAAAAACAAGAATTTTGGTTGGCTGGTCCAAATGGCTTTCTTTGGAAAGCAGAGGAAACAGCCGAACAGAGATGTTGCTGGTTGTCCCAAGCTCTAAGCTCTTACCCAAAGGGTGAAGAGTACTGACCTGTGCTGGGGACTGACAGAGCAACCAGGCCAAGTACTGCAGTGCTGGTGCTGCTGGGAACAGGGCAAGCTGACGCTCAACGCCAACTTTTTCAAGCTGCTCATTCAGAAATCTGTCAGTAGCCATAAATTTAGCTGGGATGGGAAAGTGTCTTACATCAAACAACAAAAGAAACCAGCTGCTAAATGCTAATACTACTATGTTGGGAAGTACTCCAAATATTAAAATTCCCCATGTATGCATTCATCCAAAAGCGTATCTAAATACATTTTTTTTGGTCAAGCAAGCAGCAGACTGGAAAAAAGTGCTGCTTCTCAGGGTCGCGGGGCTGCCTGTGGGCAGTGCATGTGAACACTTTGTTCTGCAGGGATTGTTTGGGAGGGTTTCTTTTGCTTCTAATCACCTCTGCAGAGAAGGAAAAGATTTAACACAACATTTCAGCCACCGATTCATTCCCAAAGTCTCGCTGACCATCTTTGTTTCCCCGTGGTAGTCCGGAGTCCTTTTTTGTGGCAGCACGAAGCCACGTTTGCATGGCTTCTGTCACTTGGTTAAAGGCAGCACACCCCCCACTGCAGACAAGGCAGCCCTTTATTGGCTGTGGAACAAGATAACTGGCTTAATCTTCCCGGTAACACGTGAACTTCCATGTATCACTTTAATCTGCGAGACACTGGGGCTGAGTGTACCGTCACATGCCGATTTTACTTTTCTATGAGCGAGTGACTCCCGGGCTCAATGATGGATTGTTTTGCTCCCTTTTAACAACAGTCAAGATGGTGAATGCCCCGGGGTGATAGACAGTGTGCAATGGGAACGGCAGCAAATCTGATGGCCCAGTTCAAGTTCACCTGACAAAGCTGGAGCAGTCTGCGAGCAGCATTCGAGAAAGGATTATTCACACTAGCATTATATTTTTGAATGCATTTTTCTTCCCGTGCAGCTGCCCAGCTCCCCAGCACTGAAGGTTTATGCACCATAATAAAGAGATTTAATTTTTTTTTCTCTTGCTTCTCCCTCTTTACACCTAGCTCTAATTGTTCAGAGCGGTGATAGGGCATCTTTCCAAACAACTCGGCGCAAACATCCCCTCGAAAACAATGGCATTGCTATAAAGCAACAACAAAAGCCTAAAAATCTCTGCCGGTTGCAGAAACAAAAGCTGATGGATTTGTTAAAGCTAACGCTGTGGTGCTGGGATCCATCTTTCTGTGGAAGTTTAATGCTGTGTTCCTTTTCTCTCCACACAAATCCCCCAGGAGGAGCGATCCCAGGGCAGAGACCCTCGAGGCTCGGTGAGAAGGGGAGCACGTCGGTGAGGGCAGCACATCAGTGAGGGCAGCTTTCAGCACCGCATATGGCAGGAAGGCTGTGCACCAATTGTCCGATGGGGACCCCTGTAGCACGTGGGTGACTGTGCACACACACTGGGTGAGTTGGCATGGTCTGGGAAGAGTAAACCCAAGGTCTCATCATGTTTAATTTTGCCTAGAGGCAGGTTGCTGAGCAGCTGCAGGTGCTATCTCCAGTCCTGTTATTTCACGGGGGATACACAAGCACCTTTTCTTGGGCTTTCACAGAGCAGTTTTTGGCCTGGTTTGGATAATAACTTTTATTTTCTTTATCCCTCAACCAAAAGCTCCAGCCTGCTTAACTTGGTGCAGCACATGGTGTCATGAGCTCCTGCTCCCTCTCCTCTGGGTGTTTTCTCAGCTAAGAGAGGCCCATAAAATCGGGAAGCACCGTAACATCATGTGCATGCATTATTTGATGGTGCCACTGAGTTGGACTCAGCTTACCAGCCTGCGTGGGAAAAAGAAGTGGGATTTCAGCTGCACAGCCAGCATTCACAAGGCTGGAAAGGGTCTGCTTCCCAGCATGTGCTTCTGAGATGTACAGTGTGCCTCTAACCCAGCACGCACTGTTGGAGCACATGGCCAGCATGCACACCCAGGTTGGCCAGTGCTGGCCTTAAATATCTGTGTCTCTGTGGGGACAATGCTATGTAACAGCCACAAACAATAACAGAAATTCAGCTACAGTGTCTAAGTTGAAGGCCATAGTCTGAGTTGCAGCTGTTTGTATGAGAGGGAATAAAGTATGACCCCTGCATGGGCAGAATCATCAAGAAAAATCCCCTTTGTGCAGGTAAAGGTTTAGCCTTTGGCTGCATCAGAGTGGAGCGAGGTAAGAAGATCACGTCTTGGTGGGGGCTGTTATCTGTGGGCATTCATTACAGAATCATGAAACTTATGGTGCTTACAGACAAAAAGAGGTACTGTCCTCAGGTGAGAACTGTTCCACCCTTGGGAAACTCTGCTGAGAGTTTGCTAGATGTAGCAGGTCTAAATTATTCATGTATAGTGTTTCCTGGTTGGAGAACAATGTTGTGGTTTTTCTTTTTTTTTTTTTTTTTTCTTGAAGAACAGCAGCTTTCTCAGCTGTTGCAGTTAAAACATTATTTCAATCTATTTTAATACTGCATGGTCACATCCATGAACACACTTGTAGCAGAAATGCTAAGTGAGGCCTTGAAAGAGTGATTGAGCCATTGCTACACTTTTCATTGCATTATAGCGTTCCAACACTCCTCTGAAATAAATTGTATTTTATTTTTTAATCACCCCCAGACATTGCCATTTGTTCCTTGAAGCATTTATACAACTTTCTGTGAATTTTACGGATGGCTGAAATGCAAGTCTCTGTCTCACTCCATTTTGTACTCTTTCCAAAGAGCAGATGGTGACTATTGCCCTAACTTTGTCTGTAGATGCATTAGAGGTTTGTACAGTCTTGTAGTACATTTCAGCTGAATTTTGGAGGCTGTTTTCTTCTTTCTCTTATGTTCTTCTGTTAAGTCTCACAGATGGTTGTAAGAACACATGTTTCAGATGGTACTCAAGATGGTAACATGGTACTACCCAGCATTACACTACATTTCCCAAACTGTTGCACGTGCTTACATGGATGTCAGCTCAGAGGTCCTGTTCTCACCAAGACAACATGTTCCTAATTGTGTGTATGATTAATACCACTGTACCATTCAGCTTATGGGCCACACTCTCTTTGGCTGTCTTCTGTGAGTCTACACTGGTGTCTCTACTGAGGGTCTTGTTAAAGAAAGGCAACGGCAGATTTCATTGCATTCCACATGTTGATTGTTGAAGAAATAATAAATTCCTCTCTTCCCAAAGTTAGAGCGTGAAACATCCTTGCTATTAAGAGAATGAATCTGCGGGTCTGTGAGGTAGATGAGACCTTTTCCATTACCTGTTACCCAGCCTGCAAAGGAGGGATACATTTTGATACTGAACAGTACAGCCTATGCACCATCACACTCATCTGCTTTTTGGCACAGCAAATCCTCTGATAATGGCATTTCAGTGATTCTCAGTTTACACTTAAGTCAGTAAAAGCAGAATAAAACTCTAGGAGGTACATAATGGATATTTAAATTGTATATGAGCATCCTAGACACATCTGTGTGCTAAAGGTTGAATTTCAAAGGTCATGTCCTGGACTTTTAAGCAAAGAGCTCAGCTCTTCATTAGCTGAATAGATAATTTTTTAGGCTTGCCGATTACAAGGAGGAGGAAGCACAAGAAGATCCACTGTCTCTTTTAGAGATTCTCCTTTAGATGCTTTCCTCAGGACATGTCCTTCCAGATTGGCTTCACCTTAATTGGGTGCATAAAAGTTGTGGCACACTAGGGTGCTATAGCTTTCCTGCTCCTCCTGTGACACAGCAGACAACAAGACCACTGCTCAAGGTAAAAAAAAAAAACACCTACATATACCTCTCTCACTTTAGGTCTATTAGAGAGGGTATGTCCCTGTAAAGCATATTCTGCAGCATGAGGGGATGTGCAATAAATGAAGCTCACTGCAATACAAACCTTGCAGGTCAACAACAACTTCCGTTCCATTGGAGAACTCATAGGAGAAATGGCCATAGGCCAGACCATACTCTGTGGCTTTGTACTCATTCTTTACTACCTTTGTGTTATTGGACAGCTTCACAAACTCCCCAAGGATGTAGGGCTCCACACTCACACATCCTTTTATTGTTCTGTCTTCCAGGATCTGAAAAGAGAGTTTCAATGACAGTCACCCAAGCAGAGATGTAAAAACAAGGATGCTAAAGATCCTCTAACTTAATTTCTGTTTTTTTGTTTTGTTTTGTTTTTTTTTGTTGTTGTTGTTTTTTGTTTTTTTTTCCTGCTAGAACTGTCTTTCCATCTTATGAAAGAGTCCCCATATTAATCCACTGCTAATTCAAAACACAGGCTGTTCAGAACTTATATTTATCAAGAACAATGGTGTCACCAGATCCAACACAAAGCCAACCTGGCAGGCCAAACCAAGCAACAAATTCTACAAATATGTAGCTTGCCCAGTAAATAGGAAACTTCTTTCAGAAGATGTGTCTAAAGCTGAAAAGATTTGGATAACCCTGCTCCTCTTGGTCCTCCTTCAACATTCAAATAACCAATAGTGGGTTTTGTTAGTGTTTTTGGTTTTTCTTGCCCCCAGTAATTTCTCTGTGCAGAGACCAGCATAAATACTGATTCCAGGTTGTCATTAAGTCTTACTAGCAAGTGGCATAGAGCCAGAATAGCTAGCAGAAACAGTAACATGCATACCATGCTATCGTATACATAGTAGTAATGAAATTGTGAATTCAGCTCTGCACCCTGCAGATGTTGGTAGGCTGTTAGAATGATTTAAAAGACTGGATAACTCCAGAGCTTCATACAGAAGTGAATCTCTGGTTTCCACCAGGACATAGCATCTTTTTTTTTTTTTTTTAACCAGCATTTTTTTGATCATGCTTCTCTGTGCATAAGTACCTTCTGTCCTGAAAAGATCAGGTGCAGGTAATATCACGTGAACTAGAGCATGTCATCTGCAAGTGGCCTAACTATTTAAACAAACAAACAAAAAAAATCCACAACAAAAACCATCCTACCAAACAAACAAAATGACTTACGACTCTTTTCCCATCAATTCCCTGGCATTGTTTTGAAGATAGCTCTTACCAGAAGTACTGCAGATGGGATATAAAAGATTTGGGTAGGGAGCTTTTGCTCATACAGCCTTTTGTTGAATTCTGTCACGTAGTATTGGGCAGTCATTTGTCGTTCCACATCACTGAAATGATGAAGAAGCCCCTTTTCTTCTTTATATTCTTTCCCAACATACCTAAACAAGCAGGAAAATCTTTGCTGTAGTCAGTTTTGCATCAGACTGCACTTAGGAAGCCCTACTTGTGGTACACAAACATCACCACAGAGCAGAGTGTGGCAGCCAGCTGTTTGTTGGTGATACATCTAAAATTACAGTGATTAAAGGTGTGGGCTTTTTTCCACCTCCTACAGTAAAATACTGTAATGATTAACCTGATCCTTAACAAGAGTTTCATATTAAGGAAAGATTTAAGTCAAACTTTAAAATACTATTCTTAACACATGAGAATTCTTAAGCTACTTCTAATAACAACCTACAATCTGTGATTAACAGCAAGTAGAGCTCTCCTCATGTTGAGGTCTAATTGATGCAAATGGACTTTAACTCAGCTTTCAGAACAAATGCATCCATTGCATGCACCCACTGCTAAACTTAAACAACTGAAGAACTTCTCCTTCTGTAGTCACTGTTGCTAAGAAAGATCTTGCTGTAAAGCAGTTCTAGGCTGGGAGCTGCGTACTTGGTAGTGCAGCTGTCTGTTACCTAGGGTAAATTCTTATTGACTCAGGCCCTGCACCATATTAAGCTTTCCTTCTTTCAGACGGCAGCAGGTATGAGGCTGTATTTCTTGGACTATGACTGGAACAAATACTGGTGTCTTCACAGGAAGGTGAAGGTGAGCAAACTGATTTCTGGTAACGAGTGGCGTCCCCCAGGCATCTGTCTTGGGACCAATGCTCTTTAACATCTTTATCAATGACATTGATGATGGAATCGAGTGCACCCTCAGCAAAGTTTGCTGACGACACCAAGCTGAGTGGTGCGGTCAACACGGTTGAAGGAAGGGATGCCATTCAGAGGGACCTCGAGAGGCTAGAAAGGTGGGCCCGGGTGAACCTGATGAGGTTCAACACGGCAAAGTGCAGAGTTTCGCACTTGGGCCGGAGGAATCCCAGGCACCCATACAGACTGGAAGGAGGGGTCCTTGAGAGCAGCTCTGTGGAGAAGGACCTGGGGGTCTTGATAGATGAAAAACTTAATATGAACCAGCAGTGTGCCGTTGCGGCTCGGAAGGCAAATGGTATCCTGGGCTCCATCAAAAGAGGGGTGGCCAGCAGGGACAGGGAGGTGATTGTCTCCCTCTACTCTGCTCTTGTGAGGCCCCATCTGGAGTACTGCGTCCAAGTGTGGAGTCCCAGTACAAGAAAGACAGGGAGCTGTTGGAGAGGGTCCAGAGGAGGGCCACGAAGATGATCAGGGGACTGGAGCACCTCCTCTACAAAGACGGACTGAGGGAGCTGGGCTTTTTCAGCCTGGAGAAAAGGCGGCTACGGGGTGACCTCATTACAGCCTTCCAGTACCTGAAGGGAGACTACAAAGGGGAGGGGAATCAACTTTTTGAAAGGGTTGATAACTGCAGGATGAGGGGAAATGGTTTTAAATTGAGGAAGTGGAGATTTAGGTTGGACGTCAGGGGGAAATTCTTTACAGAGAGAGTGGTGAGGTACTGGAACAGGCTGCCCAGAGAGGTTGTGGATGCCCCATCCCTGGAAGTGTTCAAGGCCAGACTGGATGGGGCCCTGGGCAGCCTGGTCTAGCATTAAATGAGGAGGTTGGTGGCCCTGCCTGTGGCAGGGGGATTGGAGATTTATGATCCTTGAGGTCCCTTCCAACCCTGGCCATTCTGTGATCTGCGTCTGAGGTACTAATATGACTCTGTGCTTGCACCCTCTTCAGCAATATAAAGTGTTGTACTGCCTACCCATGAGTAGGATTAGGAGAGCTTGTTTTATGAAACAGCGGAACCTGGAATCTATTTTAGCTTAATTACTTACAGTTGTTTTGGGTAACATTATCTTGCAGAACAAGTTAATCTGAAAATAAGTATGTTTTGTTAGGGTGCTAGGGAATAGCAGAAATAGAATTCCCTAATGCAAATCTAGAAGCCAAGTAAAGTGACACTTAAGCTCATTTAAGCTCACCTGAGTTTGTTTCAGCATGGATGAAGGTAGTTAGGTCTAAGAGTTGTCATGAGCAAACGGACAATAACGTGACTGTTAGAAGACAACAGTAAAGTAGCCTTTTCTTCCCAAAACTTCAGAGAGTTAGATGGAACGATGAGAAGAATTAGTGTAGCGAAGATTGCAAAATGCTCAATAGATTTAAAAAAGCAATGAAGCATTCTTGCTAAAGTGAATCAGTCAAAGGCTAACTCAGTGTAAACTAAATTGAAACAGAATAAAGAAAAAAATCTCCCCTTATGACTCTAATTTCTGCACTTGTCCAAGTGAAAACTCTATCTTCTGAAAACACTTTATAAAAATTAGAGCATGACAAGGCAGTGTACTAGCTGAATCACAGGTATAAGATGAGTCTTACCAGTGAGTTTTCATTCATGATTACACAGCACTGAAAATTTTTCTTTCACAAACTGGTTTGATCAGTACCTTCCCAAGCTTTCTTCTTGGTGCAGGAAGTGTATCCAAAATGCATTTCTCTGTTTGCCTTCTTTTGCCACGTTCAGGTAGTCCCCAATGAATACAGATGTTTCCTGGCCCGTCCAGAGGCCTGATTTCTTTGAATATTTCAAAAGAAGAGCAGCTACAAAAAGAAAACACTGCAGGTAGACTGAACAATTCAAGACTTCTGTAAGCCTTGCTGAGGGATGATATACCATCACAGAGGAGACAAGATATCCAGGCAAACAAATATATACTAAGACGTATCTAAGTCTACATCAAGGACAAAAAGTTGCTAATCAGATTTGAAACATGATAAGATGAGCCCCCAGCAGGTTTTACTTAATGAGCTTAATAACACATCCTACAGATATGCTGCTCCTAACTTCTGTATTTCCTAATGTATTCAATAAGGGTCTACAAATTAAGATACAGCAAATAAATTAAACTGTTATTTATGATTAACTTAATAATCATTGTCTCAATGTATAGTTTGCAGGATGAAATGTGGAATCTAAATGGGCTTGAGGAAAGGGAGAAGAAAGGACTTTATGAACTGGCACAAGGCACCAAGTGACCTGAGATACCTATTGCACGAAGGGATGAAGCAGGAATGATTGAGTGGTCACGGAAATGGAGCCCATCTCTATTGAGCTGTCAGTGATGTGCAAGTGAGTAAAAAGGAATAGAAGAAAATGGTTCAAGGGTGTGTTCTTCTGTTGCTAAAACTGCTGCACAAAACCTCTTAGAATAACAACTTATAAAACCCTAGAAAGTGGTGACTAAATTATGAGGTTAAAAAGCCAGAGTAAAAGCTGTTTTCTATGGAAGTAGCATTGCTTGAAATGCCTGTTCCTGTGAGGAAACTTACAGTATGCTTTATGAAGCTGTTTAGACTTAAACATTCCAGTAGGCATCAGTCTCTGGACAAGCCAGTTGTGTTCTACTCCTGCCAGAAGCTGCAAGTAGTCATCATCCCTCAGAATCCGAGCATCAAGGATTTCTTCCTTGGTTCTCCCAGGTGTGAAGACAAGACCACTTCCCCTCAGGCTTAAAAAAGGACTTTCAGGGGAATTGCTGGGCATCTGAGCTGAGCTGTGCCATGGACGCAGTGATGAACTGAACAGTCTTTTGTTGCTCTGAGGCTTTTCCTCTTCCTCTTCTTCTTCTGTACTGGCACAATCAAAGTGTTTTGTTACAGATGTGTTTCCCCGCAAAGGCAAACCTATTGGTGCACCTGGAGCCACCAGAAGCTCTGGAGCAGTCACTCTGGGAGAACTGTTTATTAACTCTCCAGTACTGATGAAATCAAATTCAGTATCATCTACAGTTTCTGCTTGGGGGTCAACCTCAAGCACTTTGAGAGATCTGTGTCCGACCGTGGCTGCAGGTTTCCTCAGCCACTCACTCACGAAGGAGCTGCTGGCTGATTTTGGCTCGCTGCCTGTAGATCCTGCAGCAGCAGCGCTACTCGTGGGACGATTGACGTCGGGCGAGGGGTGCTCCGTGCTGTCCAGGGTTCCTCCCCCCGGGTCCCGCTCCACACAACTGTTTTGGGGCGGGGACGCGGCCATCCCAGAAAGGAGGTGGCCCATCCTGGCGCTGTCCTTGGTGCTGCAGCCTGCGTCCATCGGCCGGGCGGCCATCACCCAGGGCTCCAGCTCCGCCCAGGAGGAGGAAGAACACTCCTCCTCCTCCGTCCTGGCAGGATAAGAAGGAGCGGTGAGGGAAGGAACCGAGTTGTTCGCTGTGTTATTCGTCTCCGCTTTCCCTTCCGAAGAGTTCTCTCCCTCCCTCAGCTTGGCTCCCTCAGGAGAAGCCTTCTCCCCAAGCCTTCTAGCTAGGGCTGTGTCTACTACCCCTAAGAAAGGCTGAGGTGACCTCAAACAACTATATGGAAGCTCTCCTGGAGAAGTATACTGAGTTTTGGGCAACAATGAGTGCATGTAAGCAGCTTGACCATTTTCATCTGTTTCTGTTGTGCAGCATTGCTCCTCCACTGAGCCCTTTTCTTGTTTCTGTCCTCCACTGGGTGACTCTTTGTTGCTATTACAGTTCAGTTCCTCCCAGCTGGAAGAGTAACTTGATAGTGACAGCTTGCACCAAGCATTCTCTGAAGAAGTGGTTTGACTTCTGTTTTGCCATCTGTTGAAAACACTGTTTTCATCAATTATTATTCTTTTTAATGATTTGGTCCCTTTTTCAGTGGAAATATTTCTCACATCAGAACTGCTCTGTTTGTTTCTTGTTTGGCCACTGGGCTTCTCTGAGCTACTTTCCACTTTTGGTGTACTAAACATTTTTCCAGCACCCTTCCTCTGGTATACTGTGTCATCAGTGGTACACATGGTGTCTGTATTTTTGGTTTCTGTTTTTAAAGTTGTGATACAAGCTCCCACATGTGTTTCTCCCAGTGTGTTTTCCTTAATTCTGCAAGGATTTTTAAACACTTCACACACTGAGAGATGGTGCTGAGAGTTCATGGCAAGGATTTTCTCAAAGTTGGCTTCCCCTTGCAGGACAGGTTTTTTCACTGCCCCTTTATAGCTGTCTGGCACATAAGACCTGGCATCAGAATTAGGAAAGGTTTCCACTACTAGGAGCTTCTTAACAGATGTGATCAGAGACATGATCTCTTCCGCAAGCACTCCTTTCTCTTCCTCTTCTGTAAGTGAAGTGCTATAGGTATGCAGTTTTGCTATGGCTTCTCTACAAAGCTGATCAACCTCACGGAGTTTCTCACTCTCCCCATAGAGCCATCGATGCACAGTTGTGAGGCAGAAAGCAGCTTTAATAAAACTGTGGAGCTCCTGCTTGCTGGCGACATGACTGTTATCATTCTTGGTGAGGAGGCCGATCTCAAAGGATTCTTTGGCTTCAGACAAGTAGAACTTCCTCCTTTCTGGGGGACAGTCCTTGGAGTGACTATAGGACAGCAAACACACTCCACGGATGTTCTGGGAGGGAAGAAAAGAGGAGTCCAGGAATTAAAAACTTGTATCTCTGTCATAAATAAATGAGAAGAAAAAATATCTTTCTTTCCTTCTTACAACTGAAAGTAAATAGTGGCTCTAACTGCTTGCTGCTGTGTTTCCATGAGGAAACAATCTTGCTTTTTCCCCTTTGAAATATATTTGGAGTTAAAGGAGAAGCAGCACTCCCAGTTGGTGTTGAAAGCCCATCCTTACTCTATGGATAGATACTGCTTTCTTCCCATCTGCTTAGCTTCAGATCAGAGTCCAGTGTAACATATAGCATCTACAAAGCAGATAGGAGCATACTCTAAGGTATGAAGCTAGGAAGCTATATTAAAGCCAAATTTAATAGCCTAGACTCTTCTCTTACACACATAACTCTTCCAGAGTGTGGACTAATACTCACCACAGCTGTGAGCACAAACAGTGGGGTATACTGGCTGTATACTGCTGCTAATTTGCAGGCTTCAGCAGCTGATAGCAAGCGATGGCTGGACTCCCGGAGAAGAGTCTGGTGAAACAAACAAACAAACAAACAAAGCAAGAGAAGCTCGATCTTAACAGCTGTCTTTTCAAAGAGAAGGATTTATCTGAGAGGCAACCCTATCCGATTGGAGGGAGGCAGCTTGGGATTTACCCATCAGAATCCATTGGGATTTGTAGATTTCTGATGCCTTTGAATCCTAGAGCAGGACACAAAATCAGACACAACAACCACTTAGATTTCTGAAGACGACTTTTTACTTAAGTTTACTATAGATGTATCAGGTTTGGCTCTGTAAATCGTCTGTCTACTATACACGCACATACATATATACACACTCTATAGTTATTCTTGCTGTTTTCTTTCTCCCAGAGCTAGGCAATTTTCTATCTAGGCGCTAATAAACATTTCCAATGGGAACAATGGAATTTGCTTCAGCCCTCTCAGCAAAGATGAGAAACTAGAGGATGGACAAAATATGGGTGAATTTGAGACAATGACATACAATTTGTCTGGAGAATCTGCACTCACAAAAAAAAAACAAACCAGAAGTCTTACCAGGTTAATCGCTGCATTGGTTTTAAAACGTACATAATCCTTCTCATTCATGGAAGAAAATATATCTGCCAGAATACCCAAGGAAGTTGCAATTCCCTGAAAAAGAAATGGAAAGTAATGGTAGGGTTTTTCCCCTATGAATTGTTGATTGCAGTAAGTTTGGTTGTATGTACAACAGGAAAAACACACAAAACAAAAAAAAAAGTTCCAAAGGGAAGCACTGCTAAGTAAGTCAGAGTGGTCATCTCAGACTGGTAGGGTTTTATCAATTTGAACTTGCAGAAAGTGCAGCCTGGTGTATACTTCGGAGTTTCCTTAAGTGGTAGCTATCTTAATTGCTATTAGTTCTGAGTTTCAACAGAAACTTGAACAGCACTGCATTTTCCTTAGCTATTTTTCCTAGGTGCTGTTTGTGACAATGAAGGTATGGGAGAGGTGATGAGGTCTGTTTTTGTGGTATACCCTCTGCTGGAGTACAATTACAAAGATTTTTAAAGCATCACCCCAGGACTCACAAGACTTATGTTCACATTCCTGTTTAGCTACGGAAAGTCACGCCAAGTGTGACTGCTGCTTCACTGGCAGTGGGAAGATTAGTGTGACCATGCCTTACAAAGTTGTTGAAGACAGATATGCTAGCTGTTGCAAGGTGTTTAGGTACTACAGGGCCAGGGGATATGAATCACCCACAACTGCTAGCATAGGGCAGCTTGTGAACCCTCCAGCAAACAGCTCAGTTACTGGCTAAATAAATTTAGCGGTAGTCCTAGGAAAAAAACACAAAAATCTGGGGTGGGATTAGTGTGTCCTTTTCAGAAGCAGCTGTGACATACTAGGTGATGGTTCACTTCAGATGATCCTGCTTAATGAAAATGATCGTTTTCATTCCCCTGCAGGAAAAAAGGTGTCCACAAGCCTGTGCATGCATGCATAAATGATATGCAATACTTCAGCTAGAATACTTGCCCTGAGTGCTAATGGTTTCTGAGGTGCATAATTGAAACACTATTTCTAAAAGACATGACTGAAGTAAACAGATGCTAATCTGGAATCATTATTACGTTAGCAAGGTTATCCAGAGTGAAAAAGAGATCTTACCTTTTTATCTGGTTGAGGAAGTTTGAAATATCCCACAACTGAAGCCCAAATTAACTCTGCTGCCTCATACCACATCCCTGGAATAAAACAGAAAACAATTACTAAACAGATTACTTCTTCCAGGTAGCTTTCAACAGGCTAGGTGTATTTTACACTTCCTAGAGACAGAAGCCCTCAAAACAGCATAAATCCATAGAATCCCCAAGGTTGGAAAAGACCCCCAATGTCATTTAATCTAACCACCCACCTACCAACAATATTTCCTCATTGAAAGCATTTTTTGCTTTGGTGACAGTGAATGTTTATTAGTTTCCTCTAGCTTTTGGCTGTATATGGACACACATTGTATGTTCATGAAAAGCTTCAGTTCAGCAGTCACTGAAGATAAAGGGTCACAGCAAAGGCATAAAATTAAAGCTGATGGCCTCAAGTACAAAGTCCTGGATACAGAAGTCCATCATGCTGAATGCTAGGATCTTCTTGAATTGACTGAGGAAAGCGCTGTGATAGATCTCTGTTAAACTATAGCATGCCTTTGGGAACAGTGAATTTGGTAAAAACATCAGAAGAAAAATGGAACGATATTTCAGGATGTTCTGTGACTTCTGGCTACATTAATAATAAAATGATAATTCCTAATATGTGCTTGCTTGGTACATGGCTCGAGGTCCCTGCTTCTTCCAACAGATGTGTATATACCTCATCTACTGCGACTGCATTACAGACACTGGGCAGATGTTTCACATAAGCTAAAATTCTGACATATAACAAATGCATTGTTTAGAATAGTGAAAAACCTTGAACAGATACTTATAGAAAAAGAAAAAAAACAAACCTTACCCAGCTTTTGCAGAATCTGTCCTCTGATTTGTAAGCAGACTGACTGAACAAGGATCCTATCACTTTCCTTAGCATATTGCCAGGTACCTGGGAAAGAGTTGAAAACTTCAATAGAGAATGAATAATGCTGCTGCCATTTTCAGCTCTGAGGGCAACCTAAATCCCAGCAAACTGCTAGGAATCTTTCCATTGAATCCACCTGGTTTGAGTCAGATCTTACGGCCAGAGAGATGACAAAGGGGTAGTGCAGTAAGGAATATAAGCAGACAGCATGTAGCTTAAGTGACAGAATATAAGAACAACATAAAATGTGAAAGGTACCTCTCTTCTTTGAAGTAACAAAAAATCACTGTATATAAACATGCTGAGTTGTAATAAAAAGCAAAAGGATTTACATGGCATATTTTTGTTGTCACTGACATATGGAGTAGAACAAAATACTTTCAACACTGGCAAAAAAATATTTTCAGATATCAGAGTATTGCAAAGACCAAACCCAAGGTTTTCATATTAAAACAGAATTACTAGTTACACAAAGTCTTTCATTATCAAACCTATTTTGATACCTAATTAAAATACAAAATGAAACCACCACTTTAACAGTGATATGAGTATTTTGTTTAAGGCTCGCTTGAATGAGGACCACTGTTGTATGAGAATCTCAGTTTGGCATTAGAAACAAAACAAGAACCAGAAAAGGCTTGCTAAATTTTTTAATTTTCACAGCTGTTCAGGAACCTGAATGTGGTGACTAAATACACTCTGAAGACTAAGAGTTAGCTAGCAAGTCTAAAAATCTAAAATATATTATTTCTAAACTGTTATTAAATTGTCATTTTGGATGCCCATCCAAATTTGTGAATTTTTACAATAATAAATAGTACATGCCCCTGCAGATCTGAAACAAGTCATATTACCAGTGGTATAGTCATTTGACAGGAAGGGAAAAAAAAAAGCAGCTTCTGAAAGTATCAGCACATATTAAAGAATATTCCCATTTTTATAGTTTACATGTCTGTCCAGACATGGAACGAAGTGCTGCAAGATTCATTCTCTTTTCCTTAAATCCAAAATATGGTAAATAAATGCACTGCTACCTGCTACAGGTCTGGGTTATAGCTATAATTTCATTCACAAGATCAGCGTGAATAAGACCATAAGCATTACTCAGCCTGGTTTGTTTTCTTGGGGGTGTAGGTTTTCCTTGCTTTTTAGATCAGTAAATTTCTTGAAATTGGTCCATAGCAGGAAGGCTGACAATCCATAATATTTTTCCTCCCAAGTGGGAGTCCAAAGATGGACTGTGGAAGTTTCAAAACAAAGTCTGAGTTCACAGAATGAAACAATCATAGAGGTTGGAAGGGACTTCTGGTGATCACTGTGTCCATTGAGTTTCCATACTGTAGTGAAGTGATAACAAAAGGACAGCAAAGGGATTGCAAGGAATGGTGGTGAGAAGAGACTGATGTCAGATTGATTGTATTTAAAATTTGTGTGATTGTTAAAATTGGTACAAAAAAAAAATAAAATAGTTCCACCAAAATAGTAATTATGAAATTGGAAAATAAATATATGTTTACCTGTTGCTCCTTTGTCATTAATAAGGCTGCTGAGGATGTATTCAGCTTTTAAAAGTTTACCTAATTAAAAACAAATCAAAACATTAAGAAAGTGAATATAAAAACATACATTGTGGTATGAACAAAAATATTCACTAGTGAAAGCCCCAGGAAACTGTACTCCTCAGTGCTGAAATTGTATTCACAATTAGCCTAAACTTTCCAGTTAATTGTGTACTGCTAAATGCTGCCTCATGCTCAGGAATCACTGTGATACAGGCTATTCTGCATACACCAAAAATTTTGCAAATAAATGCTGATGAAACAAATGTTCCTAGCTAGACATCTACTTTTAAAAACAAACACATTTTACTTTCTTTCAGGAGAGATGTTAAGTCTGTACGTTGGTTTAAGAGTCAATCCAGCTGCTCACACAAGACCAGCATTGTTGGACCGTGACTCCAGGTAGACTCAAGTCTACCTGCTTTTAAGAAGCACCCTACAGTCACAAGATATAGCCAAAATCTATGGGATTAAAGGATAAAAGGATGCAGTACTCAACAGAAGGTTGGTACTCTGCATTCTGCATTTCAGCCACCTGTCATATGGTTCAGAGGTTTTGTTGCATAGCAGAATCATCCGAAGAAGCTTGATGGGCTACAAGAAATGTCTGAAAGTCTAATGTGATCAACATTGATGTTGCACCTTGTTTTTTTGTCACAGTTATCCAAATTAATTCATTCACTGCTCCAGCCAGTGAAGAAATATGAATGCTGACTGAACTAGCCCATAGATCAGGCTGTGTCAGCAACCAGAGAAGTGGTATGCAAGGAGCTAACGGTCCTGACTATTTTCTGCAAATAAAATATTCCTTAATTGTCTTTTTCAAAGCAGGTTTGTCTGGATCCGTTTTGTTCCCCCAAAAGAAGTTGGAATACATCTTTGCAGTAGAAAGATGATACATAAAAAAACCCTTCAGGTGTTGCCCATGTTTATAGGAATGATGGACATTTAAAAAATAAATAAATCAATCAATTTATCTTAGAGGGGGTAAGCTGCATTGTTTGCATAGTCAAATGGTCCCACTGGAAGAAAAAAAAAAAAAAAAAAAGCAGCTGGGACAGTGCAGAGAAAATGCCAGGACTCTAATTTACTTTTTAAAGGCCCTTGGTCAGAAGTATAGCAATTCAGATATCCCTGTTTGAAACCAGCAGGGAATATTTGTTAAGGAACAAAAGCTCCAATTAGTATTTTCCACACCCTTTCACAATTTTCTCTACTGCTTTTGGCTCTGAAGCCCTTTATACCAGCCCCTTTGTGCTAGTGAGAGGAGCTGGGAGGGCCCAAGGGGGCCGGGAGCGGGCTGTGTGTTTGAAAAGATGGTACCAGGATCATAAGCATGTCATCCCCAGAAAGGGACAAAGTATCTTCTTCAAAGTCAAGTAGCTCCTAATTGGGTCTGAGCTGAGAAAATGGAGCAGTGGCTGCCCGGGAGCTGGTACCTGCATTGACAGCAAGGCGAGCCTGGCGGATGACCACCTGAGGACCAATTGGTGTGGTGGGCTGCAGCTTGTGCAAGCCCTTGGCGATCTTCAGGAGTTTGCTTGAGGCATCAATCCAGTACAGGAACCGGTCAATCAAGAACACGATAGCAGCTGCCGTCACACAATCCTTGACCATGATGGAAGCTTTCAAATAAACCTGAAAAGAACACCAGTGCCATGGGGCTACCTGGAAGAAATTCACGGAGCAGAGGCTCTGCCAACTGTTTATAGAAAATACTCAGCTTTAGCAATACTTCTCCTAAAAGGGCTGCTACATACCAGTTAAAGACAGATTGAATTTCCTTAGTCATTTGTTGTAAGGCAACTGCACAGTTTTGTAAGCAAGTAGAATTACAGAACAATACAAGAAACAAGAACTAGCAATTAAAAGACTGCCTCAAAATTTCTACTCATAACCTCTGTCTTCCTAGGCATTCACAAAAGGGAGTAAGTCTTTGTAGCACCGATTAGATATTTACTATAACCTATAATTTGACCAATTCCAGCCATATTTTCACTTTAAGATCGAAAGATTCTGTTTTTTTTTTTGTTTTTGTTTATAACTGCATGTGGTTTTTTGTTTGTTTGTTTGTTTTGTCTTTGTAATTGGCGTTCAGTATTTGGAACTATATAATTTGTTAGTCTGTTAATGAATTTAAATTATACCCAACAGATTAATAACAGTAATAACAGTTAGTTTTAAAGGGAGTCTGGGGAGACTGGAAATGGTCACTAAAGCATTTGTCTCAGATGGGACTACCTTCTGTCTGAGTACTACATTTTCAAGAATATGACTCTCAGCTTTTCTTTTCCTCTTTATCCTTAGAAGTCCCCTAGGAAATGGAGGACATTTAGGGACCATGTGGCTACCTGTGGAACCAGACCCTGGCTATAAACAACCAGCATCAGTGCAGCTTTAAGTTTGGATGGAGGATCAAATCTTTGTATACCACAAATAAACAAACAGGGCAGGCAATGCTTTCCCCTTGCAGATTACCTTTAATAACCTCCATAATTGCAGGAACTCTTTCTGTATTCCAAGAGCCGTCACGCTGACATGAGGAATCACACAGAGCTCCTCAGGCAGCATGCTGTTAAGATGACAGAACCCCAGTAAAACCACCATGAGGCCTCACTGAGGATGCAAAAGGCCACATCGATGGCTACCAAACCACTTTCTGTGGTAGATAGCACATCACTTTCAAAAAGCAGCAATCAGCTGTAACAAAGGACCCATCTCTTTGGCCATGGAGTCACAGGGGTGCTAGGCACAGCTGTGGCTTGCCTGGACTTCATGGCAGTGGCCTCGTGCTGCCATCAGAGCCTTGCCTCCTGGTATCCCACTTGGCTCCAGTGCCAGGGAGCTGGCAATGCTCAAGTACCATGTCGTGATATGGGAGAAATTGCAAGAGAATAAAGCAGGAAACACCTTCAACTATACGAAATCTCTTCATAAAAAGAATGTGTTTCTCATAGCATTCCTGTCAGCCAGTAAATCTGCTAACACAGTGGCTCAGGCCGCACTGCATCATCAGAGGATGACTGTCAAGAAGGTTTTGTGAAAATCCCCACTAAAACACTCAGTTGGACAGCTATCTTCAGTTTTTATCTTCAGCACGTGTTTCCTTCCCTTTTTTCTTGCGTAGACGCACAGGCCCAAGAGCGCCATGTCAGAGATGCTGTTGATCACTCCAGTCACCACTGGGCTTCTTGAGCCTCCCTCATTGCCTTCATCCTGTCCAGACTTCTGCTCTCTTCTCTCAGTTCAGAGAACCACCTCCTGACAGCAAAACTCATTCTTGATTTTAGCAGCTTAATCATCAAGTGATTGAGGACAGGAATGGCAGCAGCCTGAGTAACACTTGTTTCTAATGAACAGAGCCCTCTGAGGTGTGGGGAAAGCCCATATCAAACCATCTGGAGATAAACTCGTGACTATGGCATGAACGCTGGGCTGCAGCATCAGCCCGCTTCAAGCATTTTCTGGCTTGTTTGCACTTGCCTCTGCACAGTGAGGCAGATTTGTGCAAATTTCCTTTTTCTTTTTTTTTCTGAGCCTGAGTTGGATTTTCTAAGAGGATGGCACTTGAAAAGGATTCCTGGAGCTCCGCACGCACAGCCCGCTTGTGCTGGTCAACAATGGAGGAATCCCCCTCTCTAAGCACCTGTAAACTGACACTGCAAACTATCCATTTGAAATGCTCATGAACAGGCCATATATTTAAGCACAGAGCATCGCCTAATCTATTTTTTTTCCTCCCCTTCTTCCTTTAATAGATTGGAGCACAAAAGCCTGAGAGAGGGTGACCTACCAAACAAAAGGGCCTTTGAGTCCCTAGGAAAAGTAGACTTGGAGGAGGATGGAAGGAATCCAAGTGGCCCTATTATTTCCACTTGCACTAATTAGACATTTTTCTGTCAGCTATTGAGCACTGCTGAGAGGCCAAACTCACTGAATTCATTTCTAAAGTGTTTACAGAAGTTTGCATCTGTTTGTGTCTCTTCAGGAGGAAAATAAGCACTTCAATAGCATTGTGGAAAATCTAAACGAAGCATCCTATTCTGAAGGGCTTGGCAGTCTTGCAGCTGCATAATTTAACTCCTTGCTCAATGCCGAAACCTCTTGTGTCCCTCTCCAAAACCAAATGGACACAAAATGTAGAAAAGTCAAGCCAGGGGGAGAGACTCAGCTACTTTTTCCTGAAAGGCCGGGCCGCACGCTGTGTGGCACACAAGGACACGGTTCGGTGTCAAGCTTTGCAATTATGTTCCCGGCAGCACACCCAGAAATCCATACCCACGCCTTTCACCCACTGCCAAATGGCACCACTCAGGAATTCCTCAGCCCAGCTCGGCTCTCACTTACGGGCACGTTGATCTTCAGAGGGGACGAGTGCGATAAACAGGTTTACTTGCTGTCTTTCTCACTGCATCCACATCAAGACGGAAGGGGGAAAAGAAAAAAAAAAGAAAGAACAGGGTATGTGCGCACTTTGTTTTAACATCTGTGTCCGTGATGCCCAATGCATATGTCTAATTGAGTTTAGGACACAAAGGGAACCTCACGCCTGGGAAGTGGAATCAGGTGGTGACAGAATTAAATTTGCACGAGATTTCTATACATGGACCGTGGGGGAAAATGCAAAACAGCCTTTAGTGAAGGGCTTGTCCTTAATGGCGATGAGTGGGAGGGTGTGCTGTGTGCATGGTTTCCTGCATTAGTGGGTTAACTCCTCCTCACGCCGGGGCCGAAGTTTGGGTCCCAGTGTTGGGTTCAAAGCCGTGATGCCTCCTCTGCATTGACAATGGGGCTGCTCCCGAGAGGGAGCAGCTCAGAACCGGGGCCATCTGGCACAGGAGCTGGCAGCATCGCGTCAAAGGGAAATTATTGGTGCATAGTAAATGAGGGTGGGGAGGAGGGGAAGGGAGTTGCAGAGATCTTATGTGGCAGCTGATGTAAGAGGAATTACAAGCCCAAATAAATGAAATATTGATTTAATCCACTCTCTCTGCCCTCTTTATAAGGCGACAGTCCCACAGGCAATTCCCCACGTAGCCTGCAGGTGCAGAAGGGTCCCTGTTGCAGAAACATCCCTGCAGCATCAAGGGTTGAAATCATTTTTAGAGTGTACACACAGTTTTGCAGGCACTCTGGACTCCTGTGTTTGCCTACGGTCATTCACCTCACCCTATTTTAGTCTTTATTTGTAATCAAGGCTGAGGTTTTAAACCCTAAAAATCCAAGAGCAGTCACAATAAACTCAAGCTGTGTGCACAGAGCAGACACTTCCAGGTGCCAGGTTCTCCCTCAAGATCTACTGCTAGTTAGCATTTCACTGAACCCTAACAAATTGCCCGTCTCTTTCTCCCCCTACATTCGTACCCTGTCAGATTAAACACACAGTCAAAACAGCAATGGATTTGGCTGAAGTCTTGCCCTTTTACCCCACGCACTGTTAGCAAAGCCTGTATTTCCAAGAGACCAAAGCTGCTGTCACTGCACGGGACTTCTCTATCAATCTCAGCCTTTCAGCTGGCAATCAGAGCACACTCTGCAAATAACAATGAATTAAGCCTCCTACCACCTCTGTGACTGGCAGGAGAAAGCATGGCCATGATGTGCAGATGGATAAGCCTGAACACAGAATGGGTGAGTTGTGCAGTAAGTAGTTGCAGAGGAAGGAACGAGAGGTTCCTGGACACTTTCCTCTCTGCTCAGAGCAGCAGAGGATCCAATTTAATGGCTTGAGTGACTGGAGCTCTCAATTAGCTCACATTATTCATCCTGAAGGCAGTGGAGAGTTGGGTGTTTATTCGATGAGCCTAGCACTAGGTCAATTATTAGCAACTCAAAACACCGCAGAATGGATCAGTTTTGACAAGCTGCCTCATCATCCTTCATGAAGTGGGAAACTATAGGGGCAGCAGGGCACGTTCCTTGTTCTGTTCCCAACTCCTGCTCTTGAGTGCACTGCCTCCTCCATCGTCACTTGCTCCATCAGAGCAGAGCCAGGAGAGCCCACCTGGCTGCACCATGTCCACATCCTCCGCAGGATGGAGAAGGACACATACCTCAGCACAACATGAAGAGAAGGCACCACCCCTGCCCTAGCTGCTGCTTGCAGATTGAGGGGTCAATGGGAAAACACTTGTCAGTGGGACCAGGAGACACTGCCATGATGGATTTGGACATTCTCAGGAGAAGCGTTTTGGGGCAAGAATAGAAGAAAAGCCTTTAAAGCACTGAGGAAACTTCCTGAGCAGGAGCTCCTGTGGGCCTTCTCTTTCTGACAGCAGGGATTTGAGGGACCCCTGGAGCAGAAAGATTTTGCTGACTACTAACTGTAAGTGTAACAGGAACTTTGCGGCACCGATTTGCTCTTGCTGTGCTCAGTCTTTAATTAAAAGCCTATTGGTGTTTCCTTGTGTTACATTAAAATACTGTGTTAAAGGAGATATGTTAGTACTTCAAAATAGCTAACTGCCTACGAGAAATCCCTCCTGATAGGGCAGTATCAGTACCCTTATTATCATTTACAGATCCAAGAGTCTCCGAGAGTCTCTTTTCCTAAATCTGTCCTCAAAGTAAAAATCCATTTGAGAAGCAGTTGGAGGGGGGGGTGGGGAGGAAAGCACAGTGACCCCAGTAAGACAACACAAAACCTTTTCCAGGGACGAAAGGCTCCATGAAGCATCATCTGAGAACAGTAAATCCTGCTGATGTGCAGAGCTAACAAATAGCCCTGTTGGTACCCAGGACTGCAGCTCATGTTTTTCTCCTGACACTGCCCATGCAAGTCCTGCTGCAGTTTTTTTCCATATGTGCAGTGGAAGATGAGTGCTTTGCAGCACTGCACGTTAGTGGGACAGGGCTGACCAACTGCACTGCTGTGCTGAAGCTGTCCCACTGAAGCTGCTGCTTTGGCTGGGCAGCATGAGCAACACGTGGGATGTTGGCCATTCTCCCACATTGACAGGGCCTGATTTCTGATATTTCTCGCTCAAAAAGCCCCAGAGTGACAGGGTTTGCACAGCATAAGGAGGCCAGGGTGCCACCAAGTCCTTCATGAGTTGAGTTCCCAAAGAAGCTGAGTTCCAAAGAAGAGCTCTTAAGAGGCAAATAGCAAAAGGTCAGCCAGAATGACCAAGATTCTAAGGGCTTTGGTTCTCCTGTTACCACACCAGTAGGTATGGGGAGGAGAAAACTAAATCCTCAGCTCCCTCTTCAGCTGTTTTTCAAAGGCTGCAGCTCTCAAGATCCACACACATCCCTAAGGGTATCGGAGCACTTCCCTTAGAATAATTATCCTAATGATAATCCAGCAGCACATAATTAGGTAAGGCCCAGGCAGGGGCTGCAGGGACTTTTTCTCTCTATTCTTTTCCACAGCCACATTAACTACAAGGAGATTTTGTATGACCAGGACCAGGATCTGCACTCCCCCAACCAGGGTGGGGATCAGCTGCACAGCCTCCTGCACAGCTGCTTGGAGGAAACCCGTTCTTGAAGAGTCTCAGGAGCACATGCAACCTGATAGACACCTTTAACCTGAAGGTTATTTCAATAGTGCATTTAAAAATAAACTGAGAATAACTGTCCTTAGTGTAAGTGCATGAGCAAATGAAATCTTTGAAGCTGAAACTTTGTTTTTGCTCTTGCACAATACCTATTGCAGTAGGTCCTGGTTCGTGACTGAATGCCTGAACTTGAATGCAGGAACTACTGCTGCGTGTGGTAAAAATGAAGTGATGTTCCAGATTGTACAGTCAGGAGAGTGGCAGGGTTAGGATGGTATTTTACAGGTTTATAGTTAGAAAGATTACCATGGTGGAAAAGGACAATCAAAAATGATATGCTCACCTCATGTCCTAGGCACACAGTAGAAAACTCCAAAAGGAGGGATCTCCAGAAAGAGAACCTTCCCTAGTGGCAGTCAGCCCTTAAATAGGGTCTAGGAGAGGTGGAGCCAGGCTCCACTCCTGTCATACAGGTGAACTGCCTTCACCTGTGCTCCCATGGCTGACTCAGTCCTTGCCTCAGGTGATCAATCAGTGGTTCAGGCTGTGACTCAACAGTTCCCATACACACATCATTACAAGGGGTTTGAACATGGGTTCTTATCGTATAAGAAAATACAACCAAACGTTTCATGAATAATCCCAAAAGAGATATACTTGTACGCAGAGTTGTCTTCCAGTGAAGCCCTCAGTAGGGTTTGCAGAATCAAAGCCTATGTGCTCATGGGCATATTGCCCTCTGTTGGCTGGTCACTGAGCACAAGGGTATTTCCATGTCTCCAGATATGGGTAATCTGCAGGAACAGCAACACTTGCAAGTCTCCCTTTTGGAAGCGCAGCCTCAGCCTTTACCCTGCACAGGTATTCTTTTTTAGAGAAGTTACCCCTGTTTGTTTACTGTGATCCCATAGTAGAGTTGAAGAAAAGCTCTCTAAAAGGATGCAGGTGTGGGTGGCTTTGCCTTCTTGGTGCATCGGATGAGCACACAGCCACCAGCATCAGGCATCCCACTTTTTAAAGTGTAGCACTAAGGCAAACCCTTGAAGCCAAAGCCTAATCCGCTTACTCCCTGCACTGGTCTCATGGAGCCTTTCAGCCGACGCGGCGCACAGCGTAGAACGGCCCAGTCGGGGCGCAGGCAGCCAGAGCTCCACACCGCGCAGTGTGTTATGGTAATGAAGTGCCTTTCATTCAGGGATCTCAAAGTGCTTTTTAAATGTAATGAATTACGGTTTATGAGCTTATTCTGAGCATGGCAAATTAAAATAAACAGAGATGAATTTTTTTTTAAGGTTTTGATGAACATTAAATTGGCAAAGACTTAAATATTTTTTTCCTTTGGGGACTTGCATTATCTTTCTGTCCCTCGTGCCAAAAAAAAAGAAGAAAGTTGCTCAGACTTTTATCTTTCCTCATCACACTGTAATCACTTCTCTTCAGCCTCATTTCCCTCCCAGCTTTTTATTCAAAGAACTGAAGCAGCCTTTGCTCTGCCTTGAAATTTTATTTAAAAAAAAAAAGGGGGGGGGGAGGAATGAATGAAGGGGAAAAAAAATCCCTTTTCCCGACTAATACTAATAATACAGGTCAAAATGTCAGTCTTTCTACAATTAAATGGAAAACAAAAAAGGTTTTCCCTTTTTCCCATGGTACAATAGCACTGGAATATAAATTACCAGCGAAGATGAAATAATACTTCAAAGCACACAGGGAAAGGCAGCACAATGTTTACAAAGTATTTTCAACCACACGACGAAGCATTGAAGCCGACGGTTACCAATGGACTTCAGGGGGTGTTGGTGAATAGTCTGAAACGAGCATGCGGTGGGATTTTAGGTCCCTATGGTCTATGACCCCATGATATGCTTTGTTTAACAAGGGCAGCTGCAGTTATCAACAGATGTTTCAGCAATAAATAATTGGTATCATCTCAGAAAAGATCCATCTACCTGGGGAGAAGGCATAATGCTGAGAACACTGCCCCTCTATTACCGCCGCATTAATCTCCCATCTATCCAGGTCTCTCCGGGAGCTTACTGCAGGTGTTTGTCCTGGGAGAGAGCAGACAAACGCTGCGAAGCCGGAGTGCTGAGTAGGGATTGTAAAGGAGGTCAACCTCTGCCATAAATTTCTGTCGGAGGCCACACACACCAAAGAAAGAAAATAAATGCCCAAGGAGCAGCACCACCCCCCTGCACATTTGGGATCCCTGGAACCTATGGTGCTGGTGAGGGGATGTGCAGTGGGCACAGCCCTTAGCTTCCTGGAGCTCCTCATCACTGCCCAAAGCCATCATCCTCCCCAGAAAACACCTGCAGGCCTTGCTCAGGCTCTGCTGGGGGAACTCTGCCCCTTGGGCAAGCAAAATATAACTCAGATAAATCAGAAAACAAGAAGCAATGAGAATTCCTTCCTGCTTTCTGATCTTAAAGATAGATAAAATAAGCAGAGTATGCTTTGGGATCCCTTAGCACCTCCTGGATCCTGCAGCTCCTCACTCAGACCGGAGCCTCTTATACACATGGAAGACCATTACATTCTTAACTTGCTCGCCTTGGCTTTGGCCAGCTCAGGTCTCAGCCAAACAATTTTCTGGAAAATCACTAGAAAAGCATTTTGGCTTTATTGCAGTGCCAGGTCTTCAGGTAATAGGCAAACACACAACTTGTTGGAAACAGAAGTGAGCAAGATGAATGGGCAAAGCAAGCACTCAAGCTAAACAAACAAGAAACTCCTCACCTTCTCAGAGAAGGAAACCTTCCTGCCCCAAGCATCCCACGTTTCCCGTAATAGCTGAGCTTCATACCAGTAGATCAGGGAGCCTGGCACCAATCGTATCCTGCAAGTTGGTTTTGTCCTCTGGGCCCAGATCTTGCTTGTATTGCCATTTCTCTGGCACAAAGGGCCACTTCATTTCCTTCGCCTCCTCCAGAAGGGTCCTCAAGTCATCAGGAAGCAATGCTGGAAAAGGCAAATTGCTGGCAGTGAGCATAGCCATGATCCCACACAGAACAGCTGCATTGCACGAAACAGAGATAAACCTAGGTTGTACAGAGCAGTTGGGCATAGATCTAAAGGGATGCAATGAAAGACAGTCAGATATGTTTGAGAATGTTTAACTCATCATTTGGGAAAAAAAGTCATTGGTTTGAGTTACTCAGTCTGAAAAAAGATTGAGTAACTCAAAGAAAGCTACAGGATACATCTTCCCTGGGCAGCAGAGAGATCCTTGCTACAGCAGGAAGAAATTGATCCACATGCTTGGGCACTGACAGTGCCTACATGTGCAGAGCAGGTCCCAGCTGAGGCTTGCACCCTCTGTGAACTTTGTGCACTGACCTGGCCACTGCTGGAAGCTCTTTCTTTGGAGGCAGTGTATCGCAGCCATTCAGGTGAGCTGAGGACCTGGTGTGTCAGGATTGCTGGGGCAGAGGACGCCAAGCTCCTGCATCCTATACCACAAGGCTGAAGAGCTGCTGTGCCCTGAGCACAGTCTAGCTCCTGAGTTGTGCTCCCAGCATGAAGCATCACCCATGTGCCATGAAGCCGCTGGTCCAACCGTGTCTCCAACCCATCTGACTGAGAAAGGACTGCTAGTTCGAGCACACAGCTGTCCTTTCCTTTCAGCTGCAACCCACATTTAATTTTCTCCAAACAGCGGTGAAGCTGCAGCTCCTATGTACTGTACTAACCATAGGCCAAGCAGGCTCTCTGGCCAATAAAAGTGGATTAGCAAGGATTATTGACCAGATGGGGTCAATGGTGATCATCAGCTGCAGATCTAACCCCTACTGGCCATTAATCCCCAGAAAAAATCCTGCTCAGAGACCATCATTTCTTTAATGAGGTAATGCAAATAAATGTATTACTACCTATTCTTTAATCTATCCTTTATGGAGAATGGTAGAAAATACACTACATAAAGATTCTGTTTTGTGCTCATATTGTAGTGCATTCATCAGTACGTTTTTCCTATGCAAAAATAGGAAGTCTGATACGGAGGGCCAGTTTTCCAAAAAGTCACCTTTAGAAAATACATCACTTTTTCCAACACAAGTTTTCTCACTTGCTGCTTCAGGTCTAGACACACTTCCCATTAGATCACAGCGCAACTGCACTGCCCTGCTGGTGTCATATCATGCCTTCAGGAGGCCTAGCCCTTCCCAGTGCAAAGAAAGGAGCCCAAGAGGCAAGCCAAAGGAAGAAGAGTTCCTATCCCCATGCATCTCATGGCTCCTGTGATGATGGCACTGCAAAACTAGGTAGGAGCGGGGGCACTCTGCCCCCTCACCAGGCCTGAAAACTGAGGTAGGTATGTAGGGTGGCCAAGAGGAGGCCAGCGGTTGAAGATCAAGCTTCCCAAAGTCTTCCTCTAAAGAAGACAAAGAGTGCCTGGAGGCAGTCAAGCACACACTGATATATACTTTCCCTATATAATCCCAATGGGGGGGGGACTATTTGGGGGGGGGAATCTAGGAAAACAGTCATGGGATTCTCACACAGACAGCCATTCTGTCTCCTTCTCTGCCATCTGCTCTTCCCACTCAAACTTAAGCAGGAAAAGTAATAGTGTCAGAATGTACAAAAACAACCAATGGGATGATGTGGATGTTGGTATTCTCTTTGAAAAATACAGGTATTTCTGCTACCTAATTCTTCCAGTTTCCCATGTCATCCTTGGTTAAGCCTTACTGCCCCTCCTGTCTGATGCACCAAAGAACAAAGAACATCTTTAATAGCGAAGTTTCACTCTCAGAGCACCCCCAGCAGTCACTGCAGTTGCACAAGAGGAACCCAGAGCAAGGTTTTCAGCAGGATCTGGTGATCCACAAGCCTCCAGCCACCTCTGATGTTAGGCGTTTGTGTTTGTTTGCTGGGCTTTGAGCCTTGCTCTGATTCCAGTTGTCACCACAAGGAAATAAATGCAATTAGCATGCTAATGATATTAATTTGATACTGTGACGTAGAAACATCCACTGTAAGCACATGAAGTAGCTGGGGAGCTGGTATGAACAATCCTGTAGCCACAAACTGAAATACAACTGCCAGAACAAGAGTGCCAGCAGAGAGCCACGGAAGCCACAGGGCCATGAGCTTTTCCATTCCAGAATGGGCAAACGGGTCTGAGCACTGTAGGCAGAGGTCCTGAGGAGGATGGGAGATCTTTGCAGGCTCTGACTGCCCATTTCCTCCAGCAGCTCACCTGAAGGGCTGCAGCTAATCGAGCAGTTATAAGGGCATCTGATTTACCTTAGCTGGAACTAAACTGATTATTTCTCGTCCGCTGCAGTATTTAATAGGAGAGAAGGGATGAGGAGGGTGAAGGGAAAAAGCTCTACCTGATTAGGAGTTCAAGAGCCTATTCTGAAGGGAGATAATCAAGCTTAAAAGAATTTGTGATGAGAAAACAAAGTAGCCTTTTGTTTAAAACAAAAAGAGAAGAATCTTCCAGCATCCCTGGCAGAAATCTACATGCCACCCTCCAGCACAGACAGGCCGAGGTGCTTCAGAAAGGGCGGCTGACCTCCCAGCGAGAACAAGGCGCGCGCAGAAACATATTTGAAGCAGCCCCGCACTCGGGGCAAACAAAGGGTTTTAAAGATCACATTGATGTGATGGTCAAGCCGGTCATGCAAGCAACACCAAGCATTATTGGCTTTAAACTGGAAAAGGGATGGTACAGCAGATGTGTAACACAAAATAGAACCTGCACAAAATTCAAGTTTTGCAATTTTTTGCTGATGCCTGTACTGTTTCCCTCAGAAATGTCAATCTTGTCCTTTACTGCATTGCCCCGTACTCACTGAAGTTATTTTCTGATGCGGCAGACAGCAATATGTAACCACTCTGCCCTGCACAGAACAGGTGTGACCCTCACAAGCCCAGCAATGCAAACATGGCTCTTCACTGGTGAGCAAAAAAACTGTGGCAGTTACATTGTGGAGCCCTGTGGAAGTCTGACTCTGGAGAAAGCTGAACTGAGCGTGTGAGACCTTTCAGTGATTAGTGTCAGCTGCATTTCCACCAGAATTAATGAGTCATTTTTTAAAACCTCCCTTACTACCACAGCACTGAAATAAATGTTTCTAGCCCACAATGCTAGCACTGAAACAAGTGAAGAGCTCCTCTCCTAGCGCCCTCTCTAACTACTGCTTCCCTTCCCGGTTTTTCATTCCAGCCATTAGCTGACATGGGCTTTTCTTTCAAGAGGGATACTGCAAGTTTTTTCTTTGGACACCACTTACAGAGGTCACACGCATTTTACGAGATAAAGATTCAGGCAATGAGCTCTTTAATATATCAGAAGAAGCTGACAAACAGAGAGGGCCCTCCCCCAGCCCCACTGAAAGGAGAGGAAATATGTGCCCTTATTCAGAAGTTGCATCCTTTTTCTTTTCTTTTCTTTTTTTTTTTCTTTCTTTCTTTTTTTTTTTTTTAATAACTGAAATTTATGTGCATCAGCAAACTTTCGGGCATTGTTCTTCCCCAACTAAACTGTTCCTTACAGCCTCATGTTTACTGAAGCCTAAAATTAGAACTGACAGCAATTCACCGCAACAAAGTGGGCTGCCTTCCCCTGCCTACCCACTGCCCACGTCCCATTCACTGCCCTGAAATCCAGTCGTCTCTTGGCTCTCATCTGCCAGGAGCAGAAAAATAGGGCACGGCCGAGGAGCGGCTGCCCGCCCTGCTGCCCCTGGGGCCTCACCTTGGTGCCGCTGGTATTCCTGCTCCTCTTCCTCACGGATGTCTGCCTTGGCTGACAGCAGTGCGGCCAACGATCGCTCGCAGTCCTGCAGCAGTGCGGCCACCGCGCCGTGGGCGTTCATGGCCACTGCTCCCTCTTGGCTGCTCCAGCACTGAGGGCTCCTTCCAGGTGGAGGGACCTGCTGAACAGAGCAGGGAGATGACTGAAGCCCCTTCCAGCAGCACCAGAAAGAACTGGGGGAGCCCTAGCAGCAGAGGCCTGCCCGATGGCTGCTTACGGCATTGCCAGTGGTGAAGCAGAAGGAAAAGCTTTCTGTCTCAGCCATCTGAAATGAAATGTGTGGAAATATGTCTTTAATTCTTTCCCATGCAACAAAACAAATCTGACTGTTCTAATGAACTGCTCTCATAATTCAAAGTGATGTGGTTAGAAACAGCCTCTGAAAATATTTCTGAAGTTGGTGAAGCTGTAGGCTTCAGGAAGGGGAAGGCAGAACTACATGCAGCCAGGCACAGCTGGCTCTGCATCTCAGCAGCTGAATTCTCCTCTGCTGCAGCTTAGAGTGGCTGGATCCCAACTGGCAGCACCAGGCGGCCTGGGGATCAGAGGGCAGAAGCAATGAGCTCATACAGAAGCAGAGGGAGGCAGGTGGAGTGAGGCTGGCCTGGTGTTCATCAGCATAGAGCCCAAGGCAGGAGCCAGGCAGTGGGGCTGTGCTAGCACTGCAGATGGATGCCAGGAAGAGAAGAAATTAAATGGGGACACAGAGAGGAGGTTGGGGCAGGATGCAGTGCCAAGAGCAGCTAGAGTGTGGGGAAGGCAAGCAAAAGTGCAGAGACCCATGTCCAAACCTATCCATGCTGGGGCACTGCCAGGGCATATCAGCTGCATCCCACTTCTGCAGGGCTTTCACGCCAGCCATAGCGCATGGGGAGTCACATGTGTGTCAGTGTTTGTGGAGTGTCTGCCATGTGAACAACGGCTCAAGCAATGGGAAAGTGCTCTGAGGGGCGGCACAGGTTACATCGCTGCATTTGTGACTCTCAGCTGGCCAAGAATGCAATTGAAAAGTAACCCGTCAGGAAAAGCAATCTAATAAGATATAGCATTCAGGTGAATGTACTTAAAACAGATTAAAGGCTTCAGTTCCCATCCCTCAACAAAACACTGAGGTGGGATTTCTGCTGTCAGCCCTTCCCTTCTTTGCTCTCCCCAAGTTACGCACTGCTTTTTCTCCAACTACTTCTGTGTTGTACATGCCCTCCTGAGAGAGGCATTTTCTGAAAACAGGCCACCTGTGGGCATGGAGGCAGCACACGAGCACAGGGCAAGGTTAGCTGAGAGCTGTGGTGGCAGCATGTATGGCCATGGGCCCCTCCTAGGGCTTCTCTCCCATCCTAGCTGAGGAATCCAGCTGGCTGGCATGGACACAGAGCAAGGAGCAGCCAGAGGCACGGTTAGAGACAGCTGCAGCATGGTGCTTTGGCAGAGCGGCAGCCCTGCGATGTAAGGATGTCTGAGCTTGGTGACAACAGCCAGGCATGCGCGTGGGGCAAGCCAAGCCCTCTCCTCCCAGCCTTCTGGGTCTAGAAAAGCTGGACTTGTTGCTGGATATCCATTAGGGAAAAGAAAAGCGTCCCCCTCTGCCATGATTGCTGTCACACACACCTATGCTAGCGTTGCTCACTCTGCTCACCATGCCGACATCTGCTAATTGATTCATCTGATTACACAGCCCTGCGTGGCCACGGCTGTCCCACGAGTACCTCCCAGGTTGGGATGGAGCGTTCCTGCCATCTGGCCCTGGCTCCACTCCTTTGTGTAATTGATTTCTCCCAAGTCCTGTCCCCCGGGAAGCCCTCTCCAGAAGCTGTGATGAGGATGTGGCTCAGACCCACAGCCAGGCAGGCAGGAGGCTGCTAACAGTGTGCAGGAGCATGTCACAGCCCTAGCAGGGATATGTCCATAACCAGATGGTCTACGACAATGTGCTGAAGCTGAGACACTTCACACACACACACACACACAAAAAAAAAAAAAAAAAGAACAGTACTAAGAGCATCCAAGCTTACAGACACCCTCCAATGTGTCTGTGTTGCAGCGACGGCCCCGCTCCAGCCTTACAGCCTTACAGACAGCCCATGGAGGGCTGCAACCTGGGCGAGCGTGTGGGGCTGTGCTGTGAGGCTGAGAGTCCCGTGGCTTTGTGAGCCGCATGGCGCGTGAGCCGCACAAAGAGCAGAGGGGGCTTAGTGGGGAAGCTTAAATTAGTGTAGAAGTGCAGCACGTGGCTTGCTGGGATTGCAGGGATTTAACTCACCGGGAAACTGCTGGATCCGTAACAGGGATATAGGCAAGGCGGCAAGAGAGAGGTTTTTCTTCAAGTACGTTTTTCCAAAGAACTAAATAAACAACGAGGGCACTTAGTGTAATAAATAGCGATTTACAGCAGCAGGAACAACAGTGTGGTGGAACCACACAGACCAGTGCAATAAACTGCACGGTAGCACTCAGAAGCAAGACAGCCGTTTGAGACCCGTCACTGGGGGCAATGGCTTGGATCATAAAATCAGATGAAAATGCACCAGAGAGCTTTAAACTGCAGCAGCATCCTTTACACAGATGCACGCTGTAAGCTGTGTTTAGTAACAGCTGCAGCACTGTGGGGCAGCTGGGAGATGAAAACCCTGCCGGCAGCACGTGGCAAATGCAGGACCTGAGAGTGGAGCTGAGCAGCAGAACCAGCACAGAGTTCTGGTGAGCCCTGTGACAGTCACTGGTTGGCTTCCTGTCACTGCCGATACATCTCAACAAGCAGCACTTTGAGGGGATGTTGTGCTGAAAACTAAAAGTAGGTCCAAAAATGACTGCATAGCTGTCTAGAGAAAAGTGCTTTTAAAGACACACAACCTACTACTACAGAACACCTAGACACACCTACACTACTTTGGCTGCCACTTTCAAAACATGTAATAAAGACCATTTTATGTTACAGTGAAGATCTGGGCAATCGATGCAGTTCAAAGCAGAAATTATGGAAATAATCATCTGCACCATTTCAGGTTAGTGCTTGGCTTACAGTAACTTCTTGCATCAAATATGATGACCAAAAGTACAAAGATCTCTTTGGGAGAGGGGCAGCATGTTGCTGCAGTTGCCTCTACTGGGAGCTAGGACTCAGAACAAGAGGGAAGGAGAGGAGGAGGGAGGGAGGGTCTGGGTGGGCCACAGAGAAATGATCTCTTCAATAAGAAATGGGCCATACTGTGACTCTTCGGTGCCCTTGGGCTATAAGACCAAAAGGTCTGTCAAGATAAAGGAATTTTTTAAGTTATACTGTGGATAGGAGGGAGTCTGGGAGTCAGTTGGGCCAGTTTAAAATTAAAGTTAATGTCAGAGGCTCAAGTAAAGCAAAGATGTAATTGATGCACTCAATACAGTAAGCATAACAACCATTTGTTTCTCAGACAAAATTATTTAGGAAATTTTCCACAGCATTATTGTCCTGAAACACAAATTAGAGATCATCAGAGCTTTTCTCTCTGAAAATATATTATTCTAATTTCCATCTTACTCAGGCTACCCTCCAATTCCAGGGAGACTAATGAAGAAGAAGCAAAGACCTGATGAGTTCCACGCAGAGGCTACATTTATGGATTAATCCCAACAGGGAGCAAATCAACCTTATTCCCAGAGTGCTCAGTTGGGACTCAACACAATCAATTGAGGACTGGGTAGTTATTTATGACTGAGGCTGTTTTGACTTTCAAATAAACATTTTAATTATTTTAAGTGCTACACTGGAACTTAGAGTATGAGTCCTGTTTTAATTTAGATGGCAGCAACGCCTTGCTCTCCTCCCTCCTAATCCCAAACCACTCCAGTCATTATGATACAGTGCCAGTGATCCTGATCATCATGCCTGTAACATTTGAAAGCATGGACCAAAAGCAAAACCCACTGGTCAGGCTAAGAAGAAAGCCCACGTTCTCTGTACCTGCAGTGAGGCGGTCTGGCTGAGATTTTTGCATCTACCAGGAGGGAATAGCTTGCTTTAGCAGTAACACCCCTTGGCATAGAACTACTACACATGAAAAGAGCATCCTCATAGGGGTACCAACTCTGAAACCCATTTGCACACCCTGATCCATCCTTGTGCGATATTTTCTATGCCAGCTTTTCCAAGCAACTATCAGTTTCTGTCAATAAGAGAGAGCCTGAACATTTATTTTCCCCTCAGCACATAGCAGTGAGCACACAAGTCCAGGGCACCCTCAGCTGCTCCCCATCCCATGGATTTGTGCAGACGCTTTCTGCAACCCTTCCCATTACCTGTGCCCCAAATAACAGGCTCAGCTTTGTTATCAGATTTGGTGACTTGAGAAAAAGAGAAAAGGAAAACTTGCTTAAAATGATTTAGTCTCACACCAAAGATTTCACCAACTGACTTAATATTACCCTCTATAGAAAGAAAATCTGGTTCCCTGCTTCAGTATACACACATTTGTGCTTTCCTAGAGCGTTTACCTTGCTTGCAAGCGCGCGGAGGCTCTGCCACATGAGAGAGACAAGATGATAACCAAACAACAGCAGAATTCATTTGCTAGTGGATTTATTTATTTATTTTCCTTCTCTGGCTTAAAGATGAGATGTTTTCTTTCGATAAAGCTGGATATACAAACCGACATTGGCTGTATTAAAATAAGGAAGAACCTCAATCAAAGAGCCTCTCCTAAGGCAAGCTTTCTTGTTAATATGCACCAACATGAAAGGCTTTCTTTTCATCCTATACAACTACAGTGTGTGTAAATTGCAGGGGGCTCATTGGCATAAATCTTGGCTGTGACCTCTGAGGTAAACTGGATTTACATTACTTTCTGACAAGAATTAAATGAAGGCCTTGTGGATATATGAACAGCCTTCTAGACTGCAACAGATGGGCATGAATGTGCTCCCTAGGCAAACTATCAGTGACATCTGTGTCCTCCAAATTCTGGTGGTCTCAGCCAATTAGCAGGCAAAAGGGAAAAAAAGAGGCAGCCTCTACACAGCTACCCCAGTCAGTGCTGAGCAGAAGTGCTTCTGTTTAGAAATGGGATCAAGAACAGCCTCCAGCAGCAAGGGGACAGTTATCTGCCCGGGTGCAATGCAAGGCAGCACAACAGAAAGCACTGAGGTAATTAGAAAGGATATTAATATGGATACGGGACAAATCCCAGCCTTGGCTAAGCCTGTGAGACTAAAGTAATGGGCTGCAGCGATGGATTTACATGGATAGAACAACAGAGTTCTATCCGCACTAAACACAGAAATGGGTACAAAGTGCACTCAGTGCCTCCCACAGTCAAGCTGGGCATTAAGGAGCCCATCCCCAGCCCTGTACCCTCCCAGTACACCCCAGTCCCCCACAGCAACAGCTGCACTCAGGCATGAATCCTGCTGGCACAAGCCCGCCCTGATGGCAGAGCCACCTCTGCCAGGTGCTGCCATGACGTAGCCAGGCCTGAATCCTCTCCCTACCACACACAATCTCCCTTGTCCCAGCTGATAACCAGGCCTGACACCCAACAGCGTGGGCACCAGGCAGGCATGGCTGTGGGGCTGGAGCGTGGTGCCCATGCAAAGCACCTGTTGTTTTGTCCTAATGGTGACTTCCCAGAGGTGCCATTTGGGCTCTTTCCCCTCATCTCTGCTCTGTTGTGTGCTACTAGGGGATGCCAAAAAAGGGAATAATTGAGGGGCAGATCAATAAATTATAAAGACCAAAAAAAAAAAAAAGACATAATGAATTTGGTACAGCACATATTTTTAGATCAAAGATGCCTTTGAAGTGACAAACCCTTAATCCATAAACCACTGAAGCACTTCCTTTCTCTCACAAACTACTTGTTGTCAAATAAAATGGAAGTTAAGGAAATTATCTTTATCTGAAAATGGCCAAAAGAAGCCATCATCTAATGACAGCCTTGTCAAAATGACAATTGGGGAAATTGTTAGGCAGGCGAGGCCTAACGACGGGAGGAATAAGCTTGCTGTTTGCTCTAATCTGGTCAGGCAGGCCCCACACAATTCTGCACAGCTTGCCATGTGAAACAGCCGAGTCTTTGTCAGTGTGAGCAAGGGCCAGGAGGACTTCTCTTTCATGAATATGTATCACCACCCCTCTATGTCTATAGAGAAAGAACCTTCCAAACACCAAAATAAGAAATAGATAAATAAAGCAAGCCACCATCACCAATAAAAAAAGAACCTTAAAGCAACAAAATCCTAAACTATGGAGTTGTGCCACGTGAAAACTAATAAGCAAGGAAAACTGATATTTTGGAAAGGGAGCCAGAAGCATCTTCTTCCCAAAAGTTTTCATCAGCACATGGGGAGGAGGCACTTCAAGTCATCACGGAAGCAAAATGGCCTGTTGGGGTACCTGAAGTCTCTCACTGTGTTTTATATGGGGCACATTTTTGAATGTGCTGCTTTGGGGTCAAAGCCCAGGTCACAATCACCTATTGGGATGCCACATGTCCTAGGAAGCATACACATGCACAGCACCAAATATGAAGATAAATCCAGGCAAAATAAACACCGTACAGTGCATTAATGCAATAACAGCGGATTCCTCAACACAGAAAACTCAACAGAGGCTGACAGAGGAGGCCCAGTGCTCACAGAAGAATGGATTTCTCAGAGGTATTCAAGACCTTCTACAAATAAAATCCCTTGCGACATCTCAAGACTGACAGTTTGAATTTCTGGTTCCCTTGAAGTTTTGGAGCTTTTTAAACATATGTACCACGTAAATCTTCACAAATTCAAAAAATTAGCATAAAACTGGAGGAGAGTCACATCAAGACTACTGGACTGCCAGTGAAAGCTAATGTATAGACAGAAACTGCCTTTAAAATATGAAATGGCTCAGAAATCTTTACAAGAAATATTGCATCTCTGTAAGACTGATGCTGGCACACATATAAGCCCAAACGTACCATCTAGAGCCACAGAATGGCAGGCAGGGCAGGGATGCAGTATTGAACCAAGACCATGCTTGTTACAGAAAACCCAAATGAAGCTGTTTTAAGATGCGGTGGGTTTTCTCTCTGCTGGAGAGCAAGGACATTGTTATAAAGCATTCATCAACGTTTGAAAAGTTACTTTCAAATGTTTGTTTTAAACTTCATTTGTAAGACTGCAAACCAGATCTTTATTTACTATAGAGAGATTGTGGTGATACTAAAAACTTCACTTTTTTCTCCAAGCAACAAACGGAATATAAAAGTTTGACTTCCAGCAGAGATATCATGACACAATGCTCAATTTTGAGGGTTTACAATATTATGCAATGTTTGCTGTAGACATTACCATTTCATTAGCATACTCTACTTTACATGAAATCCAGCAATGAATGCTGTCCCTGATCTAAGGCTAATCCTCTTTAAAGAGCTACAGGGTATATTACATGTGGCCACAACCACGGTTGTGCCATGACTGAATCACTTTGAAGCCTATTGAACAGCGTTCCCTTGTGAGACTATACACAAACCCCTAAACCAATGCTCCCTGTGCTGTGAAATTCTATTGTTTTTCATCACCGAGATTTTTTGTAAGGAGCAGTATTGCCCTAGTCCCAAGTGAGGTACAAGGCTGCCTTCACCATCTCTCAATGACAGTTTGTAACTGGAGCACATATGCCTGAGGTAATACAAATACCTATCTCCTAAAAACCACACGACGGCTCACAGGGATGCTCTGTCTCACAGACTGATTTCTGAAATACAGAAGGTTACTATGGCTCACTATTTAAGACTGCCAATATAACTCAGAATGGGAAGGAGATGGAAGATGACAGAGCAGTGCCACAATGCCACACTGATTGACCAGAAACTACAATTACAGCTGACATCAGAGGAAAATGGGTAGTGTTGCATTGTGCCAGTGAACTCCACAACACAAAGACAACATAGGCAGAACAGTTCTGGACAGGATCATGCTTATCTTTAAAGAAAATTAAAGGTGCCATACACCTTCAAGACAAGCTGCATTTTTTACAATTGGGTGTCCTTAAATGCTATAAAGTGTGATAACAGAATAGTATCTTTCTTGCCACACAGTCCAGGATATGGAATCTTTAACATCTATACAAATTCAAAGGAAAAACATGAAACATTGAACTACTGTTCCTGCTATATATCAGCATGGCAATATCAGCAAAAGGCAGTTTATTTTAATGCTTATCTTTAACTCTTCAAAATAACTTTCTATATTAAATCACTGCTTCTAAAGAGAGCTGGAAAGGATGGTTACATTTAGTCTGCATTGTGCATGGTGCCTATCATCTCCACTGAAACAGCATGCAATCAGACAGAGTGAGTAGATCCAGTCTCTGTGGTAAAACCTCAGCCCCAGTGAAGGTAATATTTAAACTCCTTGCTATCAAAATAGTATTTCATCCAAAATCCAAATCCAAAATCCAAATCCAGCAAATCTAGAAGTGTCACTGTATACCCAGGACACAACACCACACCACTCTCGTTGCGAATAAAGAAGAATACATATGTGGCATTTGGGAGGAAGTCCTGAAGCTTTTGCTTTCAGTGAAATCGCTTCACTGGAGTCTAACTCAATTATCACGGTTTTTATGCACCAACGGATTTGCTTCAGCACAAATGAAAACAGATTACTTAATGCAGAAAAATACATTTTATCATTGTTAGAATCTTATCAATTCCCAGTAGGGTGTTTAAAACAATTGCCACTACACAAAAATGTATTGCAATATCTTTGATCAGAGCTGATGTCTGGCCACTTTGAGAAAGCCCAGCTTTAGGCAGTTTCCACAATTTAGTTCTGATTTAGAAGAAGAAAGAGAAGAGAACATCAGGCTGAAATGCAAGGGTTATAATCAAGAACGAACATACTTTCCTTGGCTGAAATTTTTGTAAGAAACCTGAACTGTTTTTTCAGTTCTTACAGTGAGTCAGGTCTCTTAATGGCCGGAGTTGGTCAGTGAGATTATGAAGACTAAGAATTCATCACTTGATGGTTATAATGCACCAAGTCTTCTCTTGTTTAGCTCATCGGTGTGAGATTTGATATGAAAGATGGGCTGCCCCTTCCTGGCTCTTTATGGCTCTTTATTGCACAAAGGTAAGCCAGAGTGTCATGTTGCGTGCTACCTACAGCAGCATAGACGTCTCTTCAGTAAGCCTTTTTAAGGACTGATCACAATTAGCTTGAAAATTTGACAAGGTCAAAAACAACTATCATGGTGAGTACTGAGGTGATACCTAAGGAGGGGTTATCTGCAGCTAGGAAAATATCAGAATCACACACAGATGGCAGACTTCTAGGAACAATTACAGAAGGAAATGCTGTATAGCATATATTTTACCTTCTTAGTCTGAACTAGGTTCCACACAATTACGAGTATGAGGAGATGTATATGCCAGCTGAAAGTGCACTGACGTATAAGTGTAGATCCCTATATAGGAATCAAAACTTTGACCAGTAAAGGTTGAAGGTAGAGAGTCTTCCAGGTACAGAAGTAGGGAAATGACCACACAAAAAATCTGAAAGCCAGAATCCCAATTATTGGTTAACAAAGATCTGTGGTAGAATTCACAAACAAAAAAATCCCAGTGCTTCCTAACTATTTTTAGAAAATGTAGGGGACTCTTTTATTCAAGATCTATGAAAAATGAGCACAGTTATACTCAGCAGCTGTGGACAGAATACTCATCCCCAGCATGCTTCTGTTACACAAATGGTTTTTCATTTCCAATTCTACTGAAATGCATTAAGACATTAATCTGAAAAATGTGATGCTCGAACATGCTTAAGTACCTAGCCTTTGTTCCAAATTTAAAAAAAAGACAAAGCGAAGAGCTAACAATTTTTCTTCCACATTAGGGATTACAGATTAAATTTTGAGCAAGAAGCAAACACCTGCTCTATGGTGTTGTCTTCTTCTTGTCCCATAAAATCTGGAGTTACAGTAGTGTCCATCTCATAGCTGCCCAAACTGTCCTCTGGAGACGCATTTGTTAAGAAGAAGGGGTTCCAAGGCATAAAGAACATCGTCACAGACAGCAAGAGGGGCAGGAGGATGGAAGAGAAATTAAGGCAAAGGAGAGGCATGACAGAAGCTAGAAGGGTTAGAACAAGATGTGCTTGGCAGAAGGATCAAGGACAAACCATGGTGCAAGAACAGGAAGGAGATGACAAAACTGGGGGAGAGGTGTAAGTAAAGCCCATCTAGTCCCCTTGAAATGGAATCCCTCACTGGGGCTTTAATCAGATCAAACGAGATGGGAAATGACAGAGTTCTTTTTTTTTTCCCAAGTAAAGGAGCAATGTAGTAGATAAAATACAGAGGGAACTGCACTCCCTTTTCCCTCTGGAATACCTCCTCACCACCTTGTGGTTCTTGGAATTAGTATCTGAAGTGTCAGTGAAAGCCACTCTTTCTAGCACACATCTGGTCTCACAGTGAGCTCCACCTGAATGTCCTGCTTTATACTTGGAATAAGGAGCTCATAAATAAATAAGCCTTTGAGTAGAAACTTTTTCTCTTCTCTTTGAACAAGAGACACTCTGCTGCTGTAAAGTCAAAACAATTAATTGCAGAACCCCGCTGCAGGTTGTTATTTGTTCTGTTACACCTTTCCCAAACGAACTCCTGGAAGCTATCACTGAAATTGCTAACGTTAACTACAGGTGTCCCGACAGCTCTTGCAACACGAAAACGCCATTTCCCGGTGTCTGGTCAAACATTGCCACCTACCGGCCCCCCTGCAACCCTGTGCTGGGCATCGCGGGGATTTTATCTCCCTAAACACTGACGTGCCCCCACACGTATCCCCTACCTGCACCTCAGGGCCATCATGAACAGCCATGCCACCTGCACAGTTTGCCAGAGCAATCAAAGGAAAGAAACAATCCCCCACGTCGGGATGCTCTGCTGAAGTTTGTTGGAGAGGGAGGTTTCCTGTTTAGCCACTCAGGAAGAGCTAGTAGGAACAGGTAGCCAAATGGAGTCCTTTCACTCACCAACCCACAACATACAAACATGAATTGCCTTAAAATTCCATCTCAGAAAGAGTGGTAGGGCTCTAGCACTGGCTGCCCAGGGATGCGGTGGAGTCACCAGCCCTGGAGGTGTTCAAGTACTGTGAAGATATGGCACTGAGGGACATGGGTTAGTGGGAAAATATTGGTAGTAGGTGGATGAAATAATAATTTGAGAGGTCTTTCCTGACCTTAATGATTCTGATTCTATGAGTCTACGCAAATAGAAAGAGATATATTTGCAGTTAGTAACTATCAGCTTCTCTGAAACTGATAATGACTAAAAGCAATTTAAGAGTTCCTACTATTTTTTCCTGATTTGCTTTCATCTCCCAAAAAATTTGGGATGTGGAATTACTTGAAACCTCAGGGATCAGACAAAAGTTGTAGAAAAACAACACACCTCTGTATTACAGCCTCCTGTAGTTAGTCATTACACACAATTAGCCCAGGCAGCTAGGGTTGCTAACTGGGAGCAATACAGAGAAGCCATGCCAGTTGTACACAAGCAGAAAGCATTACACTTGACATAATGAGCAGGGCTTTTCAAGAAGTCCCACTCCCTTATGACTGGAAAGGCAATGAACACAGTACTGGAAAAGCAGGCTGCCTTGTGAGGACAGCCCCAACCCACTTCTACATCCAACACCATCCTTATAGTCCAGGGACTGGCTGTGCGGTCAAACCTCATGTTCATACTTCAGAAAGGAAAGCATTCCTGGGGAGAGCTGCACGGGTTCTGAAAAAACCCAAAGGAGAAGTTGTTTGCATGGGCACCATGAAGCAGAAGGGCTGGCCCTGATCCCACCACACCACGCTGCCTGGCAGCACAATTACTTGCAGTTTTGCTTTTAACTAAAGAAATTTCAATTGGACAGGAAAAAAAGGAAAAAACGCAGCAATGAACTCTGGTAAACCAAGTAGCTATTTTTGCAGAAAGTGCCGGGGATTTTTCACTCTTAGGGGAAAGCTGAGGTCATCTTGCTAAATCTGGCAGCATTTCAGCCAGTGCGAAGCTTAGAGAAGAGAGGAGCAGAAAATCCAGTCCCAGCCAGCACCTAAATGAAGTCACATAGCATAATATTAAGTTCATAAATTACCAGGAAAGATATAGTTAACTATTTCTAGGCAAAAATAAGCAGGAAGAGGATGGACTTACCTCAGTATCTCCACACAGTAAAATAACCTCACCAGGAAAGCTCTCACTGCGCCATGCTCTTGTAAACAGGCTGTACGCGGAAATGAGGAGCTGGCAGAGGTTACAAGAAGCAGCACATGCAGCATTGCACAACTCCAGGCTTTCCAGACGGCAGTGAGCCACAGTGTGCACAGCCAGCCTGCTGCAGCCCAGCACTCGGTAAGTGAGTGGTTGTGGGACCTCTGCTTCTCTGCTCTCAAAGCCAGCTGAATGGCAGCAGGGCACATGCAGCAGAGACACTGGGTGCAGATAAAAGCCATAGTGGGAGGGCTATTGCTAAATAACTTATCAAGCTGTAGGTGATTTACTTGATTGTTGGGTAAACAAAAGAAGCTGCAAATGAAACAGTTTATTTGAGCTGAAGCTCACCGTATTTATCAGAGAACCATAGAATGGTTTAGGTTGGAGAGGATTTTAAAGATCACCCAATTCCAACCCCTGCCACGGGCAGAGCTGCCACCTGCCAGATCAGGCTGCCCACAGCCTCATCCCACCTGGCCTCGGTACTCAGCGGAGCACAACGCCTTTGGGCCACAGCGCTTCGCAGGTAAGGAGGATGTGGAACTGCACGGGACTAAGAACAGCTCAAACCCTTTTGCTATGGGTGCTGCCCCCAGTTCTGGATGAGGGAGTAACCTTGCTTAGTAGGGAAAACAGGAAGGGAGGGAGGGAGGGATGGGCTCGCTTTTCCTGTCAGCCAGCAGCACTGCCGCGCAATTCTAGCGAACAGGTATTTTCTGCTCAGCCAGGCTCAGCAGCCTAGGAGCAGTGAGCGCTGTCTTTCCTAATGGCATTGCTTAAAGCACAAGGAAATAACCAAATACTTGTAAATGCTTAATTTTAAAATGTTACCAGTTATGTCAAAAACATGCCTTGTAGTTACTATATGCTATTACCCTTCAAAATGTTCTTGAAGGGGAGGGGCATAAAACTGAAACTACTTGAATTCTTCCAAAAGTCAAACCCACAAGCCTTGGAGCATGTAGATCTGGTCAACAGCTTGACTGCTGGTTTGAGGACGTTAGATGTTCAGCTTTGTCTGAGGTCTCCTTATGCTTATTGGAAAAACAACCCCAGTACTTGTGTGCAGAGCAGCTCCACAGCCTCTCCCTCCCTGCCCCTGTGCTGCTCAGCTTGGGTTTCCTTCAGTGTCTTGTGGAATAGATGGCTGCATTGCATCTAAACTTTGGGATGTGCCTCTCCTCACAATAGCTGCGTCTGGTGGCTGCAAGACTGAGCAGCATCTGTGCTGCCCCACAGGCACTCTGTGTACGTGCGGGACTGAGAGTGAGCAGCACTTTCAGTGTGTTCTCTTGTAAATACAGCAAATATCATTTTAACAAGGCTAAGGCTGCGGATACTGAGCACCCCAAAGTTACAAGCTCTCAGAGGTACATCTGCCTGGAGATGGTTGCTCTTTGTACACACCTGTGCAATACATATTAATTTGGTGATAATGGACTATTGTCTGTGTTAGGCACCTAAGACACCAACCACACAGGACAAACCTGTCCAGGAATGATCAGAGGCTGAAAAGCAACCTGCTGACTGCTGGCCTCCTGCCCTTGTCCCTCGTTGCTGGTAGAGACTGCTGCCTATGTTCCTGGAGGCAGAAAGGGTAGCCATGTTTATGTATTATCCTTGAAAGCCTTCCACAGCACCCTGATATTGGTGGCTTATTTAAAACAAAAGGCAAAAAACCAAAGTGGATGTACCTTTTTTTTTTTCCTTTGTATTCAGGCTGAGAATTTATGTTTGCGTCTACAGAAGCAAACAGGCAGTGTGCCCTGAACTCCAGCTTGACGGTAAAGGTATCACCATTGAACAAGCAGTTAACTCAAATTGGAGTGCTATGGCTTCTCAAGTTAGGCAGTCTTGTTCTTAACTCTCAGCGTCACTTTCCTCTCTCTTAAAATGGGGACAGTGGTGTACACTGAAAGAGATGATGCTGTGAGAAAGGAAAGAGGTAAAATCTTGACTCAAATGAAGGTACAGACAACAGCGCTACAAGGGACTATCTTACAGTTGCAGAAAAAATCTTTGCTTCTAACTACAGTAAGTTTCCTTCTCTGGATAGTATCCTTCAAAATCTTTCTGCTGTGCCATACAATCTAATAAACTCCTTTAGCAGTAATTTGGCACCAAACTCAGCCCAGAACTTAAGACAGAGAACTGTTTCTGTCTGTAGAAATAGACAGACTTGTGAACTCAGTGAAATGATGTGGTTTCCCCAAAGCCTTTAGCTTTCCCTCTAGCCAAAGCTGACCTTGTGTAACGTTTCACATCCTCTTACTGGAGCGAAACAGTGACAAGGGTACAAAAGAGCACAGAAGGCAACAGTTCACTCTCCTTCACACAGAGCTGTGCCCAGGTCCCTGGGGCTGAAGCATACTGCTGGAACAAGGGATGGATGCAGATGCCATGAAAGCATATCTCACAGATGACAAAGGAACAATCTGCCACCACAATGTCTTCATACTTTGTCAAAAGCATATATCATATGCTCAATTTGGTTTTCAAGTGAGCTTTGAGATCTGCTTGAAGTTTTATATTTCTCTAAATATCCATGCTTGGCAGAAGCACTTTCGTAGCCTACTTAGCTAAGCAAGCTGTAGTAGCTAAATTCCTGTGTCAGAACTGCTGCTGTTATTGTGCTAAAGGTCAGGGAAGGAAGAGATTCCAGTAGATAGGCATGCTGATAAACCACATATTTTGCTTGGAACTTACTTACAGTGGTATAATATGCCCTTACAAACAAGAAGTCAGAATAAGCAGCGATGATTCAGCTACCCATAAAACAACAGCTTACTTCGTAAGATTTATCCAGCATGATTCAGAGAACAGAGCTGGTGAGACAGCTTAGAGTTCTAGGAGAAACACAAAGCATATGCACTGTATATTTGCAGTTAAACGGCAGCTTACAAATAATGCTGTTTGATAACATTTCTCTGGCTAGCAACAGAGCTCATTCTTAGGTTCCCACTTCAAGTACATAGTCTTCTCCTTCTTCAGACTAAGTTCCAGTGCAGGAAAATACTGGACTTGCACTTACAAAGGACCAGACTCCAGTGCTTCACAGATTTATATCAGGATGTGCTGCTGTTACTCAGATTTTTAAACAGAATGTAGTTCTTAAGTAACTCTGTGCTGCATTTCAAAACCTTTTCCAAACAAACAAACAAACCCAAAACACCCTGATAAAGCTTGCTTACTTATTTTGGTATCTAGTTTAGTACTTCTCACAGAATCACCAAGGTTGGAAAAGAACTTCAAGATCATCCAGTCCAACCATCCACCTATCACCAATAGTACCCACCTAACAATGTCCCTCAACACAAAAACCAACCATTCCTTGAACACCTCCAGGGTCGGTGACTCCACCACTTTCCTGGGCAGCCCATTCCAGTGCCTGACCACTCTTTCAGAAAAGTAGTATTTCCTAACATTCAGCCTAAATCTCCCCTGTTATACTAAATCTCTAGTTCTACCACTAGTTACATGAGTGAAGAGGCCGACCCCCAGCTCACTACAACCTCCCTTCAGGTAGTTATAGAGAGCAATAAGGTCTCCTCTCAGCCTCCTTTTCTCCAGACTGAACAATCCCAGCTCCTTCCACCGCTCCTCATAAGGCCTGTGCTCCAGCCCCCTCACCAGCTTTGTTGCCCTTCTTTGAATCCCGCTCCAGGGCCTCAATGTCTTTCTTGCAAACATACTTCTGCAGAGAGCTGGGACTTTCCAGTAGGCTACAGGGAAATTCCCAGAATGGGTGACAATTCTTCTCCTGGGTCTCTGATATTCTAGCTTTTGCATTCATTTTACAAACTGCCACATCAAATCATTTCTAACCATTGTATTTGGTTTCATAAAAGAGGCAAACTCTCTTTAGAGATAGAAAAAATACTACTTTATTCACATTTGAAATATCAGTTCTTACAGTCAGACGGCATTTGTACAAGTTGGCTGATGTCTAGACAAAGGAATACACTGTAAAGCAGTGTGCAGAGACACAGGTTGTGCTACTATCTCTCCTTTGTAAGCCCATAGAGCCAGTCTTACTGTCACTGTAAAGTGCCATCTATTTTTCAGAGATAAACCTACCTGTGAGGTCCTCATGATGAACTTGTTGTAGGCATTTACAGTCATGTGTGGTCTTCAGAGTTCTGACACACTACACATCCATGACAGCAGACAGGAGATTAACTGTTGGGAAGGGGTTAGCACAGGGTAATCTGCCACTTGGCCCCCCATCAAGTCTTCAGCAGAGTGGCAGGAAATGATGGTTATCATGGATAGGGTGTGCTCAACTCCCACTCTTTGTTCCAGTGCTTTACTTAGGTTTGTTGTCAGCCTATTCTCTAGGAAATAGATACAGCCACTAAATAATGGTAGACAGGACAATTTATTTGGTTCTACAGTGATTTCATGCTGTGACTTTACTTTTTCTTGTATTTTTGAGGACTCATTTCAACATGACCTCTTTTGAAGAAGATGAAACTGAAGAAACAGCAACGTGCCTCCACATGACATTTTACCATCCCTGCCAGCAAGACAAGATGATGTTTCGTTGCTTGAATTTCTGTAAGCGAGAACAGGTCAGGGCAGATGAAACGGCCAAGTTTGGGCGTGATTCTAATGTCTGCCATTATAACTTAGTGGATACTCGTGTTTCTCGGATCCAGTTTTCACTGCAGTTCTACAGAAAACTTAACAGCTCAGAATTTTGTTTTGAGATAAAGAACATGAGCAAGAAAACAAAGCTGACGGTAGACCAAACAGAACTGGGTTACTTAAACAAAATTGATTTGCCATGGAAGTGTATCATTTGTTTTGGAGACTACCAGATTTTAGCAGAGATTCAAGAAGGAGAGGCCATGGATTATTTTGAGACTCACTTACACTTGGCTAAAGTGCCAATCTTACAAGAAACTTGCCTGCCATCTCTGCAACCCATACCTGAGAAAGGCATTTTCCCTTCCTTGTCTCCTTCCCATGACAAAAGACCCATAGAGATTGATGAAAATGAGTCATGCTAGCAGCAAGGAGGAGGCTGGATGAGTTTTTGAACATGTGAAGCCTGCACAACTTCAAGAGCTGAAAGCGATCATCTCACCCACTGTTTCTAATGGTTCTCACTGCTGTATATCAGTTTCCTTACACACTATTTCCCATCCAGACATACCAGGTGTCTTGATCCAATTACAGGAGGAGGTGGTTCGACATATATATACTTGGAGGAAGATTAAGGCAGCCAGACGCCAAATGCTGTCAACTGACTTATTAATCTCAGATGAGGGCTGCTGGACAAGCTTTGAGGCAAAATTTTTTCTGACTTCTCACACCAGGACATTACTTTGTTGAACAAAAACAGCGTGTCTGACATTGTGTTTGTCAGGGCATACGTGCTCGTGCTCTTTGTTCATTACACAAAGATGTGAGAGGGATCACTTAAGTCCATGGCAGCATATTCAATTCAAAACTGTGACTGCATGCCTAAAAGGTATATTTAGCAAGCGTTAATATTTTATGCAAGCAGAACAATGTCCTAGCCCCTGTACTGGTTAACTACGGAGGGGTCACGTAGAGTCACGTCTCACTGCATTTGTTATACTTTGTTTTGCTTTTGACATTAAATTCTGAACAGTATTTTCAAGCCTAGGTTGTAACTTCCCAGATTTTGCAGCTTAGAAGCACTTTGTAAGGATAGCATTTTTAAGTTAATGTTTTTATTGACTTTGCACAGAGATTTTTCTAATATTTTTAAATAGATGAAAAATATGTTGGTTTTTTTTTTCTTTTTTTTTTTTTTTGCAAGTAAGCTGTTTTAGTTTGTGAACGTAAATAAACATATAACATTATGTAAAGATCCAGCTAGATTTTGTAATAAAGCATTTGGTTGTTCAGTAAAGGTTTGTTGTCTTCTGCAGCTATAAAGTAAAAAGGCTTATGTGAATAAAATGACATCCAGGACAATCCATCAGCAATATTCTAAAAGTGATGCTGCTCGAAGAGTTAACTAAAATGCTTTGTGAGTTTTCTCCCTATTCTCTCTCTCCCCATGCCACACCTACTTTAGTCTCTTATAATTTTATTTTCAGTTAAGTTTTTCTCACATAGGTTTAGTTAAATTTTTGTTGGGGGCTCAGCATTTCATTAGCACTTCCGTTTTGTCAAGTGTTTTAGACTGCTTGAAAGACACACCGGAAGGGCTCAGAACAAAGCACTTTTAAGAGTTATCTATCTTACCCTCAAGCATTAACATCTACTGAATAACTAAATTATCCTAGACATTTAGCAGAACACCTTTCAACTTTAAACTACTTCCAACCTCTAAGCTCTGTAATCCAGTACAGAGTAAACCTCTGCTACATACTGCTCCTGTTCCCACACACATCTGTCTGAGGAGTCCTAGAGTCAGGCTTACATTTGACTGGATATCAACTGTTCCCTCTAACTTCCCCAACACTAGGAAAGTATTTCAACATTAGTCGTTACAATACAAGAAAACCACAACATAATCCAAGATTAGTGGAAACAATCACAAGTGAAAGAAGTTTGTGGAAGGGCAATGAGACCAAACCCAAGTTTTCATGGGATTTCATTTGTCTGTTTCACCCTTGCAAAAAAAAAATGCCTCGTTGACAAATTTTCCACCTGTTGAACTAACCTTTAATACTCACCCCTCTTACAGTCGTTAGGCTGGATGTGCAATGCAAAATTCAGCTGACACCTCTCAGCACCAATGCCTCTATCAGGCCAGCCCGTCAGCCTAACAAAACCAACCCAGCAGGAATCACCAGGTCACCAGACCCGGTGCCACTGGCTGCTTGGCTTCCATATGCTTTTGATGTGAGTCTTCCTACTCTCTAATTAGAGAGAGTGGCAAATAGCCTACAAATGCAAACTGTTCAGAAAAGGAACAAGATGAAAACACATCTGCAAGAAGCTCTTACATTTAACAGCTTTAATGTGGAATCAACCTCTCATATAAAACACATGAGATTTCTTAAGTTCATTAATTTGGCAAGTGGCTGAGGGAAAAGGGAGTGTTCTGCATTCCCAAGGAACAGCTTTGTTCTTATGAACGCTTTTAAATGATTGCATGGTGACATGCAAGTTCTTGTTTTGTACTGCTTGGGTCCTCAAAATCAGGTTGCTAGTACTACTGCTAAACAGTGTTACACAATTCCTATACGCTGGCCCTGCCATACAGGACATCAGCCTCCAGCACTGATTGTATTCATTGCTTTTACTTTCTCTGCAGTTACCCACAGAAAAAAAAAAAAAAAGACAACCCCAATCACAACTTTTCAGGCTCAATATATAGACAAAAGTTTTTACCACCTACTGACCTCAGGAAAATCTTTTGTCTGTTCTGTGGAGTTCAGTGCTACGTCTCAGAAGGTTTTGCATTCACACTGAACAGAGGGGCTCTGTGGCTAGCCGTAAGTCTGGAGTGGCACAGTCCATAGCACACCTCTGGGAACCAGCAGAAAATATTGGCCTGGGGAATGGAAAATGAATGATTAATATTTTCCAAACCTTCTTCCTGTGATAATATAAAAAAGCAAGTGCATTACTGCATGTGAGCAGCAAGACTAGATGCACAGGTACCAGCGTTTTAGCACTTACCTTCCTGTAGCTTGGTTTATCTCGTGATGAACTACACTGTTTTATTGACTTTGCCACTGCTGAAAGCTCTTTAGGCCCAATTAAAAGCTCACTGGAAACATTCCCATGGAATTCAGGGGTCAGTAGACCAGGCATTAAACAGCAGTTGTGAAAATTTCAATAACCAGCATTATGGTCCTCTGGTATGTACCTTGAACAGCCTCCACGACAGCCATTCTAAATTCGTATCACCACCAAAAAGAGTCTCAACTGTTGTAATATTTATATACCTGTAAAATACAAAGATGGTCATCTTAATAGAGAAAATTAGAGGAACCATTGTACAGGTGCCTTCTTAAGCTAGAATGTCAAAAACCAGCACAGTCTCTCACAGTCTCTCTCACACAGATGATCCCAGGAAAGCAGTGACAAGGCTCACTTCTATTATGATCCCCCCAAAACAGTAAAAATGTTTGTTTTCCTGAAAACAAACACAAAAATTGGTATTGTGGATAAATTATATGCATTGATTCTGTAGTAGCAGTCAACTAAAAAATACTGGAAATGATGAGGTGTGCTCCAGACACACACCCACCTGATGAATATCTCTACCACACACTAGTTATTAAAGTGTATGCTAACAAAAGAAAATATCAGTACATATGGTCTCAATAAATACAGACACCTTCCAAGAAATTTCAAGACCTTAGGAACATCTTTACATCAGGCTATTCTTAAATATAATTTCACATCTAAAATGAAGGTGACTCACATAAAAACAAAGTCAGGCAGGCACGATGAGACTGGATTTTGCAGAATGATTTTTTTCTTCCCCATCTTGAATATGTTTCTATGGCAATTTCCACCCTCTGTTATACAGCACAAAATTTGCAAGCTGTTGTTTCAATGAACTTTCAGACCTCCCTATCATTATATTTAGCCTCACTTATTCAGATAAATGCTTAGTGAAGGAGATTCAGCTGCACAGTTTAGGAAATAGCTGGGTTACTTCCAATGATTGCACATAACCTAAGAGCAGATTTAATGTTCGTTTTTAAATCAAAGATTATTACACATGCTTTATTAATGTGCTAAAGTCAACACTTCAACCTACTGAAGTGATTTCAAAAAGAAACACTGGAGAATTCTGCATGTACCATACTGTGGGAGGAGACTATGATAACATAAAAGATGAAAAAATGTTACCTGAAAGACAAATAGGTATGCTTGATAATACTAGAAAAATAATTTCCAGTTACCTCACTAAAAAAAAATCAAGAAATGTAATAGGAATGTAACCATTCAATAGCACACCAAAAGCACTGTATAAGAAAAAACCTGAAAATTAGCTGGTTTTGAACAATACATATCCAGCAAAATAATATTTTTCCTAGATTAACAGACAAAATATTTAGGATCCATTCTCGTAACACACATGCTAACGGTTTGTAGAAGTTAATAAAATTTGCTTTCATCCACAAGATACACGCTGATAGCTTATGACAGCTTTCATGATATGGTGGCCAGGGCCCATTTTCACTTTAGAAGATGATGTAAAGTAAAAGAAAGATAGCGAAAATGACCATTTTCCTTTACAAAAGGCAGCTAGATAACTCAATGCTCTCAGCATACACTCTTTCCGAAGTCTGATCCCTTAATTTGAAATGATTCTCACAATACTTCACAAGTTATTTAACTGGTCATCAACCAATTCATCACTTCAGAGCAGTAAGACTGAATCTCCCTTTAAACCAACCACATGAGTGACAATTTTATCCCACTGACTTGAATGAAATTCACTGTTCATACATCAGTTTATGAAAAGATCACCTTTAAACTAAAGAGTTTTGATTAAGGGGATTCAAAATACAAAATGGACAGTTTGATGCTTACTTTTCTTATTACTATTTTTAGGCTTTACTCTCAAGTCTACTGTTCCAGTTCAGGCAAAAGAGAAACACAGGAAAGTTAGACACCTCCAGTATAACACCAAAGCAAGCTGGCAAAGTGCCTAGGAGGCTACATAAAGCTGGCAAGTAATTCAGAAATACAACTCCCCCTTTACAGATTTTAGTTGATATCCTGAAATCATTCCTTTCATGTCTTCCAGATAATCAGTGGGAATTCAGCATCCTTGGGTTCCACACACAGGGACTGAAGCTGCCATTAATCATATATTACTAACTTAAGTGGAAAAAATAATACATGCATTAACGTAGATGCTTTTCTTTTAATTTTTCATTTTGTTCCACTTGGGATAGCTAACAGCATTCACAACTACAGAATACTAAAAGACAGTGCTCTGAAACACTAACTTTATACTTAGTCAAGTAACACTGCTGAGACTGAACAATCACATCAACAGATCTCACATTTGATTACAGCACAACTTCAGCATAAAACATACTTAAGATGAACAACTTAATAAAACTCTTCCTCAATAGAAAACACAATTTCCAATTAATAAATACACAGACAGCCTATACAGACACAGCCAGCAAGTCAGTTAAAATGATATACTACAGACACGGAGGACGGGGATGCTGCTTGCATTGCACAAGTGTATCCTTACTTTGAATCACAGTGCTGCAGTTGCTTCTTTTTAAACAGAAAAGCTTCACGCTCCAAGTTCTTCAGGTCCTCTATCATTGCAGCTTGTTAGAGTTTCCTTTCCACAGCAGCAGGTCCCAGAGAAGGGAGGGTACAGTAGTAGCTCAGTAGTTCAAGCACAGCTTCGTCAAAATCTTAAGTTATGTGATGCACAATAATTTTAAAAGTGAAAGAGATTCCTTCACGATGCAGAGATAATTCTGGGTACCACTTAGCATTTCATCTTCACATACTGCTTTCACTATGCATGAAATAGTGATCACAAAAAAACAAAACACTGTTAAACATAAGACTGACTGAAAATTTTAATTAGTTTTAAGTTTGTACAGAGATATGTATTTTACAGTACTGTTGTGTTGTTTCATGTGAGCTGTTTACATCTTCTTTCCATTTCTCACATTTCCACAAACATTGAGAGTAATTTCTTAAGTCACTCTGTGATTCACTTAACTCTGAAAAGCAGAATGCTAGTAACCATGTCTACAGAACACACAGATCACAGTACAGACTTTCAGTTGGAGATAAGGCTGCCTTTTTGCCAAATGTCTGCTCATTCTACAAGCAGGACTACAGCTTACTTCCTTGAATCACGGTCAGGACAAGTCAATCTCATCTTCACTGATGAAGAAAGGGCAAGTTACAATTTCAGCAGGTTAAAAAAGTTATTTACATGGTGAGAAAGTTGCCTTCATTACAGTAAGAATATATTATATGAATAAGCATCAGAAGTTATACAGAAGTAGCTTATGCCAAACAAAAATATACGTTTGATGTGTACAAATTTTTAAAGCATATTACAGGCATTGCAGATGCAGATAATTACATTAAAATATTTCCAATTACATTGCTACAATTTAAATTAAGAAATGGCATGTTACCAACAAAAGATTTTTATCTTTGTCAGTGTCAATATATGTACATATTTAACCCAAATGTGCAGGATTTTTTAAGTTGTGAAGAGGAGCACATTACAGCAATCCTAACATTATACATGGGTTCAGATGATCTAAAACAGTTACGTAACTTGTACCAACAAATTCAGTTGTTCCAATGATGCAGCTTTTCCTGCGTAACAGGGTGCTGCTTTTTATTCCACAATGCTGAAGTTAAACCCCACTCTTTTTTTTTTTTTTTTTAAGGGGGAAAGAAACCAGACAGCTAGACAAAGTAACAGTAGACTAGTATGGCTTTACTGAAATGCTGAGGAAATCTTGAAGTTTACAACTGTTTTGCACTTTCTCTTCAGTGGGGATTGCTTTTCTTTTTTCCCCTTCTTAAAGAAGAACTTGTATTAAAAACAAAGGGGAGACCACACAATACACTATATCTGCAGTAGCTGAACACCTGCTTAAATTTCAGCCCATGTTAGCACTACTAATCATATAGTTTAGAGGCACAGGAAAGCTAGAGCACTTAACTACACTATTTTGTAGAGAAATTCAGTCTCCCAGTTCACTCAGAAAATGCTGTGTTTCAATAATCGTTCTCATTAGGCTAATTTACAAGTCATCCACAATTTAAGAATGTTAAAAACCATGTAGTAGCAAATGTTGACCTTTAAGGGAATGGGGTGATGGGTGATCAAAAAAAATCAAAACTTTGGTCCTCCCAGTCACCCAGCAGACAATGGGTTATTCCAGTTTAAAACAAACAATGTTTATGTTTTGTTCTCCTCTGTCTGGGCACACTGACTATGCCTAGACAGCATTATTACAGAAGACAATATTTTACCTAAACCGATGATTCATACCATGAGGTAAATTGTACTTAGCATAAAATAATAAGAAAAAAAGTAAAAGAAATGGTAAAAGGAACACAGAAGGCCAGAGAGAATACATGACAGACAGAAAAAACTGCAATTCACTGTGTGATTTTTTTTTTCCACAACTGGCTAATTCCACCCCTTAAATCACTGAACACCACATCAGAGAGCACATATCAGAAATAAAGACAGATTTTTAAAAATATTTTTCTATATTCAAGTATTAGATAAATTATATAAGACTTTCTTAGGACAACGATGAGTTTTAAAAACAAATCATAGAAACATCATCCAGAAAAAAAGCTAGTTAAAATATAGATATGCCAACTACGAAGCTTAAATTAGCACAGATAATTCCATATTAAATCCAGATATCCAGAAATATACACAATAGAATCATCCCAGTTTTCACAAAAGTTTAGAAGGTAGATGATAAAATTGCACTTAATTCTGAATTAATCAGATAGCAAGTCTTTCCCATTCCTTGCTGATCAACTTGTAAGAAAAAGAAGGAAACAGTGCTATAAAAGAGCAATACGTTTTTGTACATTCCATTTCACTTTTAAACATTTGGTCACAAACAAGGGCCACAGTTTCACTACCTGTCCTGTTGATCAGAATCAGATGTCCTTACATCTGATGTAGACAAATCTAATACAGGATTTACAAATCCAGCATATTCTGAATTGCCATTATCATCCATTTCAGCACTAACAAAGTCATTCTCCCACTCCAACCCATTAGAATCATCAGAGGCTGAAGCTGGATTACTTCCTGTCTTCTTGCTATTAAATTTCAATGCTGCCCGGAGTATGTCTTCTTCTGTCTTTGAACGTTCTCTCATTGGAATCATTCTGTTCATGCCTGCAATTTAAGACATGTTTATGAAAAGGACATAATTGAAGCAAGTATCTTTCCATTATTATTTCCATTGAAACCTAAGAAACAAGAATCATATAGAGATTCAGACTCAGGTAATTTCATTCCTGAGTATCACAGGTTTTTTCTTCGTTCTGCTCCACAGTGTCGTTAGTCACACCGTAGCTAGCTTGTCTCCTAAAATTCAGAGGAAGTCAGAAAATACTACGAAACAATTCAGAAGCAGTATTCATTTCTCCTTTATATGAAACCTACTGCACTCCATTATGGGCATGAAAACATCACGAGATTTTGGAACTGTGCCATTTCCAGAAAATCTACATATCTGTAATACTCCTGTAATTCATCATCAAACAGATGAAATATCACCACATTTCAAACAGAAGCTAAAAATTAGATATTGGATACTTTTTTATTGGAAAGGTAAGCTTAATTTCACACAAAATAAGACAAAACATTGGTCAGATAATTGCACAGAGCTGCTATTTATTCTATCAGTACATACAAACTTTCTGAGAAGTCCTGTACAACTCTTTACCATAAGCCCTACTAACATTTGAAATGTACAACTAATCCATAAAGTAGTACCTCAGATCACTCAACCCAGCCACCAACACACTTTTCAGACTGCTATGGTCTCTACAGTAGATTCTGCCAGCAGATAATAGAGTAACTAAATTGCTTATTGTAAGCAAGCAGTCAATCTCATTCAGAGAGATTGTTTTCATGCACCTACAGCTAGATCAGATCTAGAAAGAATTTGTTAAGACTACTCGAAGTCTTTG